GCCCGTTCAGAAGTAATGTACTGTGGTTCTGAAGTGTAATTCTTTAAAACATTCAGAGTGAAAGTAAATAATGAAAAAGCAAGCCATTGACAAAGGAACTTTGATGTCACAATTAAATGTCAACAGAACGTTTGTTCAAATGTGTTTATGGTTGTTATCTGTCTGATTAATCTGGCATCTCACAAGGTGGTTGCAGAATGTAACAGCGATCGTACTTCAAATATTTTGTGTCGCCCTGGTACTCTTTTATACTCTTCATTTCCACTAAAAATTGTCATCTCTTTGATTTGTTTGATTGTGACGCCAAAAAGCATGGAGTAGCTAATTCTAGTTAACACGAGAAGTAGAAAGTTGAAACAAGTGTATAATATGCGAGGAGTCCTAATCGCGAGTGCGGGAGTTAGAGGAAAGACTAATCTCGTGAACAAAAAATCATCTTAACCTTATACTAAGAATACAGATGCAAAACAACATTTTAACTACGTTAATTTTTGTATTTGAAGCAGACTTAAAAAACGGATGAGGCTTTTTCAGCAGCCCAACATTATACATCGTCCAAAAATGTCCAGACTCCTTTAGTCCAAGATGGTCCAAGCCAGTCCGCCCCTGCCCCTCCCCTAGTATCATGCATGCAGTGTCGCAAAAAACGACCCCTATTGAAAAGTAACAAACCCTAGTTTTCAAAATGTGATTAGACTTAGTAAAATGCAGTTACCAATCCCAGCTGTAACTACATGAAGCATGAAAGAGCTACTATGTCACAAAACTCGAGAGGATTTGAAGGGGCTCCAGCAATCTTATATCTTATGGTTTTCCGTTGTCTCAGCAAATTTTGGTGGCGGCGTTCGTTGTGCCTGCGCCTATGATCGCTGTCAAACGTAATGCCGCATTCCAAACATTGAATTTTCCTTCGTTTTGGCTTTGGGGGCATTTCGTCCACGAGGCTTGAACGACCAAAGCAAATGTTTTTCAAAATCTTAGCTCAGTTCTTCCTTCCGGAAGGCAGTGAGTGCAGCTGCGTTAACGGAATTGTTTCTCTTTGTAAAACACGACGAGGTGCTGTTCTAGGATGGTTGTCAATGTTCATTTCAAAGGCCTCACAAGAAAAACAGAAATTCGACGCAAACTCAAGCTCAAAACTTTTTCTCAGCAATATAGAAATTTATAGCAATATACAACTTGAGATAGTCTTAACAACTAACATGGTAAACTACTTTAGTAATACAATTATTGCTGTGGGGTACAAAAAAGGCAGTCATCTTGGATGGGCTTTTGGCATGCTCGACGTTGGTAAAATTTCCGAAGACAGCCTGAATTATCCGGCGACAAGATAATTGGGGGCTCGAGCCCCCCCAAACCCCCTAATTTCCGCCACTGAGTTTCATTAACTAAAAAGTTTTGAAACAGATTATATGGTAATGCCAGATGCTAGGCAATCACGGACAAATTTACTTTGGAATATTTTTTGAATCTGTCATGAGTATTGAACAAAAAGGTTTATAAAAGCATGTTTGTGTGTCTTTTTGCCTGTTTTTTCCATCTTTTGAACCCTATTGCTGTCCATGCTATTGAATAAATGTGTTGTGAAAGCATGTAGATGAACTGAAGGGGGTTATATTCCCTCGATTTTCCACTCTGCGAAATCGAAATGTCACTTTCTGCAGTGATCAGGGAATGCTCAATGTTATTGTTTTGACTATAAACAATGGTTGATTGAACGACAAAGAATTATATTTTGATTGGGTATAGGTATCCTCATCACATGGCACAATTTTGAAGATGAATATTCCTGATGTGCTTGTGGGCAATGCCAGACAGCTAATGGGATGATTTCCTGGAAAATGGCGTAGCCAGACAATTTTGATTAACCCCACATCAAGGGAAAAGATAGCCCTATTCCTGTGTAAGTGTAATGAAAAAAGAATTTCATCAGATATCCCCTTTTATATACAGTTTCTTAAGAACGCCGTAATGTCGGACACCTTTTACGGTAATACGCGGTTCCGCTATTTAGCGTGCGACATTCGTTTAGACATTAAAAGTGACATTCGCATAGACATTCGGACTTTGATTCCTTCTTACATAAAAACTATAAAATATATTATGTTAAGAATTGTTGCCCTGAGATCATTCTAATAGAAGACGTTTAGTAGTGAGTTCCATATCGTAATATCAAAAATTCACCGTTTTTAACTCAACAACTACCAACAGCAAAAACGTGCGAATGTGCGTAAACAAGTCTTTGTTAAAAAATCTATTGTCTAATATAAACAATGCGTGTTCGCACTTTGTGTAAAACGAACTATAATGTGCCATTGTTTTGTTCATTACGGAGCTAAAGATTGTATTCTCAACAAATTAAAAAGGGCATACTGGAAAAACCAGACCCTATGACCCTAGAACCCCTATGACCATTAATTACGGATAACCAAAAAGGACCCTCAACTACTACATGATTTGCGGCTCCCCCAGAGCCGTGCCTTTTAACTCATGACACACCCACCAATCCTAACAGACTAATGACAAAAAACACCATCGACGCAAGCATCGAAAATCACTTTAAGTAACTGACCAGACAAGAGAAGCAAAAACATTTCATCCAGCCTTCAAAAAAGTACTGTGCATGAGATAACGGAGTTTATCAGACCTGGGGTTAGGGGGCCTTTAGAGGGAAGGGAGAATAAAATAAATAGACAATGTTGGCAGAGCAGGGTGCAGCTGCAGAGCACTAGAATTCAGGGCAAAAAAGTAGTCAAAATATTAAAAGGCGTTTACACAACCCCAAATCAAAAGTCTTTCATTAAAAAGTTCCCCGAAGTTCCGCACTTCTTTAACTTCCCCGCCCATACAGCACACACTGCACGGGTTAATTGCCACGAGGCGAATTTCGCAGCCAAATCACTGGTGAAGATATCGAGGGGGGAGGGGGGCGCAGTTTTGATTTTTGACTTCGAAAAGAGTTCTAATTTCACCGCTGCGAAATATTTCGCAATAGGCGCCTTAAAATGTTTAGTTTTGGGGAAAATCACAATATAATTTCGCAGTCTGGTGGAAATCAAAAGGGCCTTCTGAAACAAACTCGTAGCGAATTCGGTGCGTAATTCACCTCCAGGAAATCATAAAAGGACAGGAGACAGACGATTGTTAAATGACAATGTTAAATGTTTGAGCCAAAGTCGGAATGCTTCCAAAGCTGTAAATATGATAGCATTAAAAAGCATGGCTCTGGGGGAGCCGCAAATCATGTAGTAGTTAAGGGTCCTTTTTTGTTCTTCGTTGTTAATGGTCCTAGGGGTCATAGGGGTCCTAGGGTCATAGGGTCTGGTTTTTCCAGTATGCCATCAAAAAGATATTTCATAGAGAGAAACTTGCTGGAGTTGATTCGTGTATCTTGTTCATAATAGGATGCGCTATACTTCCAAAGGCGAGCAAAAAAGTCGAAAATTTTTGACACGGCCTAAATTTCACTGCAAATAGACATTCGGACTTTAATCGATTCGCATAAAAAAAGGAAAGCAAGTAGCCAAAAGGCCTTTGAATGACGGAAACCTTGCTGGATTGTCTGTTGGTTTTGGTAGTTGTTTCAAGAAGATACGCGAAATTATCGCTAGAATAAGAGAAACACCTCTAAATTTTTTGACATGACCCAAGTTTCAAATGGCGACCGACCCTCGCGATGTCGTAGCAGGCACTCATTTTAAGGGACATACGCCGGAACACTTGAAGAGAAACATCTAAATCGACTTAGAAGAAATAACAGCAAAAATCGCCAGTTGTAGGAAACGACAACAAACTCAGAGGAAACTTCTCAAGTAGGAACTTGCCTATTTCGTTGTCCCTCAATAACTTTCGAAAAACTTTTCAGAACCGGATGAAATTTTGTAAATCAACTAGAATTGATGAGATAGAGATGTTTTTTTGGGTCTTGTAAAGTCTGAAACGTTTTTGATAAATTTTCGAGGCAACGCTTTCTCGAGCTCCATACTGAAGCCTTATAACCCAAATCTGATGAGTCGGTGTCCCTCAATAACTTTCGAAAAACTGTTCAGAATCGGCTGAAAATTTGCAAATCAACTAGAATTTATGAAATAGAGATGTTTTTAGGGTCTCGTAAAGTCTGAAACCGTTATTTATGGTTTAAAACAAACATCTTTTTAACATATTTTATAGTTTTTTTGTAAGAAGGAAACAAAGTCCGAATGTCTATTCGAATGTCTATTTGAATGTCTAAACGAATGTCGCACGCTAAATAGCGGAACTACTACGCGATATTTCATTGTAAATTGTAATGTGCATGTACTATTGTTTTTTGCTGTGCTGACATGCTTCTTACCAATTAAGAACCATTTTACATAGTTTCGTTTGCGCTCTTAGGTTTTGGTCTTCTTTATTTTAGTAAGTGCATAATTGCAATGGGTTTCAGTTTTCAGTTTTAGTTTTAGTTTTAGTTTTCATTTATTTATCAATCAATCTTAAATACAATCTAAATAATTACATTTTATACAGTTAAATACACAATAACATTACTCGAATTTGAATTTCATTAAATGACATATAAAATACACAAAATGAAAAAAAATTAAAGATTGTATTTAAGACTGATTGACTAAGGAGGAACTTTCTAAATAGATAAACTAATCGAGAGAGAGTCCCCCCCATAAAAACAAAAACAAAGCCTGGGTGCAATGCCTGGGTCTAGATATTTTGTTTTGCTTTGTTCGAATGTTTCCGAAAGGGTTATTCTACTTTTTGGACGATGATTGGAATATATGTTAAAAATTCGTCTCTCTCACCCTCTTCTACAGCCCATCTGATGGCAGTAAGACCACTAGGGCCAGCACCAATGACAGCAACTTTTTTCATCTCTGCTTCTCTTTCCATGCAATCCTCCCCTCCAGATAATTTTTTATTGTTGAAGCTAGACATAAGGGTAAATAACACAGAACAGACAACAACAACACCACATCGCGATTTCATCATACACAGGGATCACAACTTTTATTTATTCGAAGAAAATGGCGGAAAAAAAATGCGGATGCAGTGGGATTCGGATGTGTCTCATTTGTGAAGAAAAACGTGGTAAAATATACGATGACCTTGCTAACCATGCATTTGAATCAACTAATTTGCATTTTCTACACTTTTGTATGAATTCTAAAAATATACTATGTGGTCCTTGGAAGTTTTGCTCTTGTAAAAACGGACGGCTTCACAATGGAGATAATGATATGAATTTTTATGAGCACACAACGGCAGATATAGTAAATAGTTTATCTGTATACATCGATGCAGATGATAAACATGATAAACTCCAACAATTTCTCAAAACTTGCAACGGATTACTAGGATCACAAGACATAACGGTGATAGAAAATTACGTGACCGACGAGGAAGAATCGTTTATGATAAATGAGATGTACAAAATGCCATGGAAGCTATCACAATCAGGGCGACGAAAACAAGTGGGTGATTTGATATAATATTGTAAGGTCTTGGTTTTACAGTAACATTTTTTTCAATTAATGTCACTTCATCATGAATTGAGCATTATTGAGAACAACATCCAGCAAATTATTATCTTTAATATTCGAATTCGCATAAATATTTTGCATAGACTATCTATGATTTCCTTTTGATTTGGAAATCAAAGGAAAAACTTTGGGATAGTTCCCTCTTTTGGCCATAATAACAACATATTGGGGACCCAGGGAGGGAGGCACCTGAATAGGAAGTGATTGATACTGTCTTTGGCATATTTTGTACAGGACAAGGTATGTAATCCAGATGGAATTCATGTAGCCTGCATCGGAAATATCTGGCATGGAATAATTATTTTCCATTGTTTTTCTATTGTTTATTTGTGTATGTCCAGCATGAGGTTTACATGGATTCCACCCTGTTTTGTAATTGGCATTTTTTGATGGGATAGGGTAAAAGTGCCAAACTGTTTTCCATCCACACTGACTCTATCCCAAAAAATATGCCGATTACATAACCTGTCCTGTACAAAAAGTGCCAAAATACAGCACAATTATGCCAAAATATACCACTGCAAATGTAATGATATTTATAACTATCAGATGTAGCTGGAACATGATTTGTTTGGAAATACAAAGAGAACAACTTTTATAAATAATCACCCCATTGGCCAGAATAGCAAGAGGTCGGGCAAAGCAATATTCAATGATGTTAAAGATGCCCTTTTGTGACTAAAGCAATAAATAATAAAATATTAGGATCCAATTGATTAATGTTTGTTTTCATAAATATCTGTATTTAATCCTGTATTTGTTTCAAAGTTAGCAATTCTCATTAGTCTTTTTGTAACTTCTTCAGGATTTTGGGCCGCAAGTGAATTTCAAACGCAGAAAGCTGAAAGTTGGAAGTTTCACAGGGTTTCCATTCTTTTTAAAGGATGTGGTATTGAAAATGAAAACTTTTAAAGAACTTGATAATTTTGATCCTGTGGAAGTTTGCCATTTAGAATACAGTTCTGAAAGAGGGTCAGCAATTGATCCACATATTGATGACACATGGTTATGGGGGGAACGTCTGGTTACTTTGAGCCTTTTGTCAAGTTCAATCTTAACATTACAAAATGATGAACTTCCAGAAATTGCCATCCAGATTCCGATGCCTAGATGCTCATTGCTGGTTTTACAAGGCCAGGCAAGAAACAATTGGAAACATTCTGTGAGGAGAGAAGATATTTCAAACAAAAGAATAGCAGTAACATTTAGAGAATTATCAGAGAATTTCAGCAAAGGAAGTCAGCATATCATGGGGAAAGAGGTGCTAAAAGTTGCTAATAATTTCGATGGGAAGCCACTTTTTGAGGACAAAGAGTAATGACACCTTTGATTAGGAGGAGACAAATAACCTACCTCTGTTAATATGTATCAGTAAAAAGTTCACCAAGTCAATTGTATATGAAGGAGTTAAAATTTGTAATTCTCTGCCATTGCCAATTAAAAAGTTATCAAATAATTCATCTTTCATCAAAAAACTGAAAAACTATCATTTAAAATTAATTGACATACTCATTTGAACCTGATTATGAAAGCCTATATTACCACCACGCTCCTCACTATTTTGTTTTTAGTATAAATTATTTACATCTCTTATTATACTAACCCAATGATATCTTTATATTATTATATTTTTAATGCTCATTCAAATTATTTTCTCTTCTTTAGATCACTATTAAATTTTTCTAAGCCTTTATTTCCTCACCTATACACATCAAATCAGCATATGACCTAGATAGCTCCTTCATAGCACCTCCTTTTGATAGGTCCAACAGCAAGCACATTAAATTTTGAACTACCTACTATATGTAGTTGTCCTTTTTTGTAAAAAAATTATTTTATTTGCGGTTCATGTATTAGATATAAATGTAGTTGTTAATTATTGCTATGAATGAAAAGTTTGAGTCTGAGTTGAGCTTCATACCTTGGTTCAGAGCCCTAGCTGCATGTCCATCAAGTGCATCCAAGAAACCACTCATCAAATAGAGGAATCCAGCAACGTAAGGTGATGTTGGCATGTAATAAAATGAGGCAAATGCAAGTATAATTTTTGCATACCCTGTATCAAAAGAAAAAGATACTTAAATTGCTTCTTGAGTGAAAGAGAGTTGAAGGACTCTGTAATCCTAAATAAGTTTCTGCAGTTGTGCACTTGGGTTATAAGTTTAGTTATAAATACCACTGTAAGCCCTGTGATAGCCAGCTTATAAACTCACTCTTAGACCAAAAACTATATATAGCATGAACAAGTTTCTTCCTATTTAAAATTTTTCAAGCTAGAATAAACTAATTTTGATATAATAGAAAGGAAGGGAATTTGAGGCTCCGGGTGATGGAGTAAAAGAGATCATGGTTCTTTTGCCCTTTAGTTAGTGCTGATAACAAAAAGGTATGATAGGCCTCAGGGGGTGGTAGCTTTCCATGATTTTGGGGGCGGCATTATTTCACAATCAAAGCGCTGAAAACTCTGAAAATTGATGGCGAACAATAAACCTGTATATTAGATAAATACAAACTTTGATAGTAGATTATGGTATGCTAGCGACTTGACAGCGACATATATTAATTAGTAAATATCTATTGATATGGCAACACGGATGCCATAGGCACTTTCTGGATGTCCTAAATTTTGAGATGAAGTTACATTATCATCAATAGGGTTTTGAAAAAATGATCCATCTACTTCCATGTACTTCAATAAAGAATTACATTAGTGTTTCAGTGTTTCAATTTTGTTGGCTCAAATTATCTAATATTAGACAGCTGATAGTGAAGCTGGTTGACATCACATCAATTGAATCTTTATTACTTGGTTCTCATAGTACAAGTCGTGGTTGTGGATTTCAGGGTACATTGGGTTGCTCTCGAAGGCAAGCCTCCATATTCTTGCTTGGTAATTGCATCAAAGTATATGCTGTTTGAGAGCATTATAACAAGGCAGTAGCTGCTCAGACTTGACTTTACCATTTTTACTGCAGTATATCTTATAACGCAACTCATTGACTTTTGACTGCTTCTGACCATACAGAAAGCAAACAAACTTCTGCAACACATTGATTAGATTGTCATCAACATCCAAATGCATCCACAAATTCTCTTTTCTTCTGCAGTAACTTCAAAGCTTTCAGTTTGCCTTTACCGGCAAACGCACTCACTGTATCACATTCTGTGAAACAATAAACACCAAGAAGAGATCTTTTGTATTCTTAATTATTGACCCCTAGCTTGTTTGCAAGAATGATTGATTGACTTGAAACATCATCGATGCTGATTATTCTTGATTTGTTTACAATACCTTGCTCGAAATTTTGCTGAGATGTTCCTTTGGGGCCTTTTTGAAAAAAGGAAACACAGTACTATGAGAATTGAATAAATCACTTACCGATCAGGTTAGGGACGAACAAATATACGTTTTCTGCCATGCTGAATTTCCCCAGCTGCTGCAGCCTTCCGCGCGAAGTTAGCGCCGCCAACACAAATTTGTTGTTGTTGCTGATAAAACAAATTTATGCTGCGTCGCTGAGCAGTGGATAGTGCAGAATTGACCATTCACAAAACTTAAAGGTGATGTGTCCATATAAAAGAACTGCGTATACCCAACTTGTCAAGCCACCCATCAAAATAACGGTTTGCGTCGCTGAATTAAAGATTTGAACAGTTCCCTAGGGCGAAAAAGCTAGCAATTGCACTGCTTACACCCTATTAATTTAAGCAAAAATTAAGAAAAATATTGGTTCTTATAAAAAAGGAGTGCATTCAGAAATAATGACTGTTTACCGTCGAGTTATAATGAAGCAGGAAATAGGCCTTTCAGAATGTGCTCTCTTTCTAGTTTCTAGTACCATGCAAACTTAACGATCTGCAAACAATTCCTTGCGCAATATATTCTTAATAGTAAAAATGAAATAACACAAAGTCTTAGCCACACATAGTTGAATAAACAACGAATTTCACATGTTTGTATAATCATAGAGACTGCAGCAAGCAGGCCCTCAAGCGAATTTCATTACTATAAAAATTTAAAAGTATGTTAATAGGTATGTAACAATCAAGTTTATTGGTCAAAATAACAATCATGCAGCTTCAAATCAAAAGCGTTATCTATTGTACAGGTGGATGTTATAAAGCATATACTCAAATTTTACATCTTCTTGCATAAGACAGCAACAGCAATTGCAAGCATTAAAAATATAAAGGCAACCACTAAGCAAGTTTTGTTTGTAACACCAGTCTCGTTAGTCTTGCTGACAATTCTCGTTCTTGTCGGAAAAATAATATTCTCTTCAACAGCTTCTATGGCTTTCTTTGCTCCATCCCAAGGGTCTGGTCCCATTAATCTGTACTGATACGGTACACAGGGGCCAAATAAACAACTAAAGGCCAAAGACGGATCCTTGAAGAGCAGCTTCAAAAAATTTGGCTTGCAGCCTATCTCCCTTGCGATTTCATCCGCGTAATCAATATAGTCCACCTAAAAAAGAAAACAAATAAAACAGAACAATACACATCATATTTACTTTTTGTCCTGTAATAAGTTACCAGGTGCAGGGGTTTGAAAAGTTGTTGACCTTCCTCAAAACCTGCAATTATTGGCCACAGCTTTCCTTATTTTAACACAATGTTTAATTACTGAAAAACAGCTGAACAGTGCTTCTACCAGACGAAATAATGTAAATAAGGTGAACAGATGAAATGGTGGGTGTTCCTGCGATATTTTTGTTTTTCAGCGGAGGATCAAAGCACTTACCAAGTTGTTCGAGAACAAATTTTCTGGGCACATCAAAATTTTATCATAGATTTTCTTCCCATATTTATTTTGACCCTTCTAGCCAGATTCTTAAACTTTGATTGAATAAGTTTGTAGTAAAACCTCACCACTATCATATATTGGTGATTTATTTTCAGTTGACAGAACATGAAAAATAACAAAAAAATTTTGTTTTTGCCGTTTTTGCCAACAAAATCATCATCATTTTTGGCCAGAACCTGCCTCAAACCAGGAAGGCTCGTAGGGTTTTTTGCATCTCTGCACAGGGCCTAGCCATTTTACCACTTCCAAGGATAAGCAACGATCTAGTTTTCGACAGGCAGATAAACAGACAGCAGCTATAGAAAAGCTCACCAAGTTTTTATACCCTGAAACTGAGCCTACATAAAGACTGCTCTCTAGCGGTTGATTCTATATCAATTCCTTATCGTTCAGAAAAAAGCTGCACAACATACCCAAATAGACCTTAATAGGGTTGAGGTATTAGCATGTGCCATTATGAATGTCCAGTTAGAAATGAAAGCATGAGATATTTGTAAGATTGAAATTGGAGTCAAAGGACATACCAAAGATGTTTGATGCTTTTGTTGTGTTTTTAAAATTTTATTTGCCTTGCGGAATTATGGGTATAGTTTTCATCATATTAGCGCTAATATGGGTCACATTTTTTCAGACATATGCGGAATAATGGGAATAAATGTGGAACCAAAATGGCACGTCCCCGTCCAAAACTAGGCTTAGTTTTCCCATCCCCCTTCCCCGCGACGTAGACAGAAGCTGCACAACAAACTGTATACGGGCTTGAAAGGGGTGATCATCGATCCCACGCCCAGGGACAGGAATTAAAAGGAAGCGAAACATTTCTATACAGGCAAATAAGTTAAATTTGAGTACTTGAATGGTATGTCTGTCGGCCTGGTAGTAGTGTTCCAACATTGCCTTTCTTTTTCGCTCTGTGTCTGCTTTCATTTCATCCAAACTAGGAAGACATTTTGTCCCACTAAACACTTTACACGCCCAACGTGCTTGGAGTTCTGAAAGCGGCATTATAGCTCCAATGGGTTGTAAACATCCCAAAATGGCCATTGTGTGATGTTTGTGACTGTCTGGAAAAACGTACTTGTACAGAGGTACCTGGTTTCTTTCGACTGGTACAAGCCCCTCTTCAAGACAAGGAAAGCCAATTTTGTATCCAGTCGCAAATATTATTGCATCAAGATCAGCAGCTTCCGTATTGTCCTCAAACACTACACCTGGAAGCAAACAATAAGTCCATCATGAACTGCACAACAAAAATGCAAAGTCAAAGTTGAAAGAAGAGGAACAAAGTTTGTTGAATTGGGTTATGAAAACAAATGAAAAAACCAAGAAAGGAATTGCAATTTCACTATGCCTTCAATGTCTTTTCAGCGTCTTTTTAGTGGTCTTTTTAATGGTGTGAGGATGATTCAATGCCATTTTTATTGGGTACACACCCAAGGGTCTGTGGTTTGTGTCACTGACAAGACTATATTTTCACTATGAGTGAGAAGTGTTCCCAACTTTCTGTTAGTCCAGACATAGGAAACATGAAGTTCGGTCACATCAAGAGGAAGGTCATGGGCACTGCTCGATAAGCATAGCTTCTCAGTGTCCTAATAACTGTCCTCGGAAGCTTGGTAGCAACAAATACAAACCAAAATGCTCTTACCTATTCTTCTGTGTTCCGTGAAATATCGAAGCAAAATAAAATGAATTAAATTACCACACGACGACTGCACCTTTCCCTTAAACTTTCATAGTGATTAAATAACTTCACAAAAAGATTTGAAAAGTATGTTTTCAATTACACAGACGGTACCATTTTGTCAAATACTCACTTTTCTCTTTTATCAGCTTCACGTTTGGTTTGATTTTCAATCTCCCTGTAGAAATCCTTGATGGAAGGTCGTCATTTACCATTGGATGTTGTTGTGTTGCCCCGTGTTCTGGCTTTAGCCCAAACTTCTTATGATCGAACCTATCATTTGCAATCTTTTGACCAACGATCTCAACAACTGATTTTGGTATAAGTGACATTATTCGTCGATTTTTGAACTGATCTGAAGGGTATCCTCCATGGGCCATTCGAGGAAATACCCAGGCTCCTCTTCTTGTGCTTAGAAAGACTTGTTTTGCATGACGACTCAACTCGACTGAAATGTCACCACCAGAGTTACCAATACCTATGGAATGACACAGATAGCAATGAAAGGGGTTCTTTTCTTAAAAATAAGAAACAAAGGAGCCACTGAAGTCATACACAATTTTTCTTAAGGATTAATATTGAGGTTTATTGTAAGGTTTTATTCTTATTTGATTTGAACAAAAAAGACTGGACAAAAATACAAACATAAGAACAAAAATATACTGTCAAAAAAGTTCAAATTTGACGAACTAAGCAACATATATGGAAGAAATTCTTTGTACTCCAATGTATTGACAGTATATTTTTCCTTGATGTTACAGCTACATTATAAGGTGTAAGAAACTTTTTTAAAAATCTTAAAATATCCATACAGTCTAAAAAATAGCAAAGTGGGAGCTATGAGCCTCTTCACCTATTACCAGCACTCTTTTGTCTTCATATCCTTTGAAATCTTTGTATTGTTTGCTGTGAATCTTTTTGCCTTTAAAATCATCGATACCATCAAAGTGTGGCAGGTTTTTGATCCAGTGATGGCCAGTGCACACAAAGATAAAATCAAACGTCTCACATTTTTGCCCAATTATTTCTTTCCCATGTGGAAAAAAGGTAATATCCCATTTTCCAGTGAGATCATGATCATCACTTTTTTTGACTGATTTCACCACAGTGTCAAACTTGATGTATCTTGAAATATTGAAGTGTTTGACATAAAGATGTAAGTACTCCATCACTTTTACATTAGGCATATAAACAGGAAAATCCTTCGGTGCAGGAAAATCACTGTAACTCATCATTTCCTTGCTTGTGTTGATGACTGTTGATTTGCACACAGAGCTGTGGGAATCATCAGTGGTGAATCGCCACAAACCACCAATATCATCTTCTTGCTCAAAGCAAACAACATCAAATCCTGTTAAAACACATTAATGTGAAAGTAACCTTCAAAAAAGTTAAATTTAAAAAAAGGAACTTGAGAATTAATATAATAAAAGTTAATATACAAAAGAGGCACAGTTTATCAATGTTTCATTTTATTTATTGAAATAAATTAATTAGCAAAACCATGAGACAAGTAAAAAATTCAGGTAAAGAACACAATTTTATTCGAGCAGTTTAGCGTTCATCATTATATGCACCAAAGAAAGCAGGAATTCCACAAGCACAGTGCCTCCCTATAGTTTTCAACTGGCTTCCTTGCTGGTAGACTTGCCTCAGCCAGAAAGAGAGAGTGTACAGGGAAATCCTTGCAGTCCTGCTTTCAGAAATAGCAGGTCAAAATGTTTTCAAAGCAATGGCTTTTGGCCTAGGTAGGTGAACCCAACTTATCAACCACTAACCACTCATGACAAGTTATGATGATAATTTCAACCAGGTCCTGCTCTGCAGATTAAGCAAGACTGCTCTTTGTTCTAGTTCATTGTGATGCAGGAAAAAATTTACAAACACATAATGGAAGCAGGACAAAACAAGTGCAGGATTGCCCTAGTAGAGAGCAGGACTTTGGGGTTAGCATGGGATGCCTGCATCAGCCAGCAGAACTGGTGATTCTTTATCAAATAGAATTTGAAAATCCTTCTTGCAAAAACAAAGAGTTTCTATAATTTACAGAAGATCTTATCTTTGGAAATTCCTGGCATATCTGAGTTCCAAGCAAAAGGGTGCTTAACTTATAAGTTTCATTATCTAATAAGATTTGAAATAGATTATATGGTAATGCCAGATGCTAGGCAATCACGGACAAATTTACTTTGGAATATTTTTTGAATGTGTCATGAGCATTGAACAAAAAGGTTTATAAAAGCATGTTTGTGTGTCTTTTTTCCTGTTTTTTCCATCTTTTGAACCTGATTGCTGTCTATGCTATTGAAAAAAATTTGTTGTGAAAGTATGTAGATGAACTGATTGGGGTTATATTCCCTCGATTTTCTACTCTGTGAAATCAAAATGTCACTTTCTGCAGTGATCAGGGAATGCTCAATGTTATTGTTTTGACTATAAACAATGGTTGATTGAACGACAAAGAATTATGTTTTGATTGGGTATAGGTATCCTCATCACATGGCACAATTTTGAAGATGAATATTCCTGATGTGCTTGTGGGCAATGCCAGACAGCTAATGGGATGATTTCCTGGAAAATAGCGTAGCCAGACATTTTTGATTAACCCCACATAAAGGGAAGAGATATCCCTATTCCTGTGTAAATGTAATGAGAAAAAAATTAATCAGATATCTCCTGTTATATACAGTTTCTTAAGAACGAACGCTGTTATCAAAAAGAAGTAGTGGTAATGACAGATTGCTAAAACAATGAAAGGTGTTTGACATTACAGCCATACTGTAAAGTATGAACCTGGTACGCCACATATGTATGCCATACATAATCCATCATGCGCCAAGTAGCACTGGTACTCCACTCCATCCACTCTGCCAATTGTTAACTTTATGGAAACAGGTCCGCACTGACATTTTTATGGCCTCGGGCCAAGGTATTTATGAGGCATAAGCTTTGCCTCTTGGACTTTAAAAAATCAATCAATGAGTCGAACAAATACATTTTTACAGTGTGTACGAAAAATTAGAATTTATTTGCTTAACATTTTATGCTTAACAAGTATGTGTCCTTTGTCATAAAAAACGTCTTGATATTCCTACTACCCGAGGTGGCACCATAGTTGCCGCAGAAGGGTAAGAAAAGTTTCAAATATGAGTGATTCCAGTTCACTGGAAAACGCACTCTTGCTCTACTACCATAGAGGGCTGCACAGCAGGAGGTGAGGCCCTGTACGCGAACCGATTAAAGGTACGCCAAATTACCTCAGTTTTTGCGACAAGAGTGCTCAAAACGCCAGTCTTAAAGCCAAAGTACGCCAGCATTCCAAATTTGGAGATTGCTGTGCGTCACAAATCTGTGGCGCAACTACGCGGATTCCAGTCTGGCATTACGGTATTACGCGATATTTCATTGTAAATTGTAATGTGCATGAACTATTGTTTTTTGCTGTGCTGATATGCTTCTTACTAACTAGGAACCATTTACATAGTTTCGTTTGCAACCTTAGGTTTTGGTCTTCTTTAATTTAGTAAGTGCATAATTGCAATGGGTGCAATGCCTGGGTCTAGATATTTTGTTTTGCTTTGATCGAATGTTTCCGAGAGGGTATGCTACTTTTTGGACGATGATTAGAATATAAGTTAAAAATTCGTCTCTCTCACCCTCTTCTACAGCCCATCTGATGGCAGTAAGACCACTAGGGCCAGCACCAATGACAGCAACTTTTTTCATCTCTGTTCCTCTTTCCATGCAATCCTCCCCTCCAGATAATTTTTTATTGTTGAAGCTAGACATAAAGGTAAATAACACAGAACAGACAACAACAACACCACATCGCGATTTCATCATACACAGGGATCACAACTTTTATTTATTCGAAGAAAATGGCGGAAAGAAAATGCGGATGCAGTGGGATTCGGATGTGTCTCATTTGTGAAGAAAAACGTGGTAAAATATACGATGACCTTGCTAACCATGCATTTGAATCAACTAATTTGCATTTTCTACACTTTTGTATGAATTCTAAAAATATACTATGTGGTCCTTGGAAGTTTTGCTCTTGTAAAAACGGACGGCTTCACAATGGAGATAATGATATGAATTTTTATGAGCACACAACGGCAGATATAGTAAATAGTTTATCTGTATACATCGATGCAGATCATAAACATGATAAACTCCAACAATTTCTTAAAATTTTCAACGGATTACTAGGATCACAAGACATAACGGTGATAGAAAATTACGTGACCGACGAGGAAGAATCGTTTATGATAAATGAGATGTACAAAATGCCGTGGAAACTATCACAATCAGGGCGACGAAAACAAGTGGGTGATTTGATATAATATTGTAAGGTCTTGGTTTTACAGTAGGGTCATTCCATATCAAATCATCAGATATTTTTAAGATTTGTAACCCATGGTCTTAGAATTTCCTGATTTTTTTACCACAAAGAGCCATTTTGGAGAAAACAGCACATACAAAATTTTATCCTTATATCTATTACGGTTGCGATTTTGTAGCCGTTTCAAAAGTGACCCGTTTTAGCCAAATATGCCACACCCAGTTTACCAAGCGATAGGCGCGGCTTTCTATCAATAGCTGTAACTTTTCTATAGTTGTAAATATTTGCTTGAAAATAATGTCAATTATTGATTTGATACTGTAGATTTCAAATATTGCATCAGAATTTGACAATTTTCTAAGGTGAAGCAGATAGTCATATGTTAAAGGTTATCACCTGTTTTGAAAATATTCCCAACCGATGTATATAAATATTGAAAAAAAGTCCTGTAGCTGGATTCATAGCATTAGAAGCTTGCTATATTCTAAAAGTGTATTCTTTGGGCTATCAGAAAATGTTTGAGATTACAATTGCAATTGAAGTATTTTGAGTTAATTGCACCTTACAAAATGGGTATAATTTTGCAAGAATCATGAGCAAAAACAAATTTGTAATTAAGGTAATATTGCATGAAATAAAAATAGCTGCTAAAAACATTGAATCAATCATGATTTCACATTCAGAGACAACAAAGAATAATTAAAAATTATCCCTAGCCATGGACAAGCTGAGATACTGCTTTATAGTCACTGTAGCTGAAGCTCTAAGTTTGACCGTTAATTGTTTTGGATGAATCAGTTTCGCAAAGCATGTAAATGTGATACCCAGCATATGTCTGATCTGCTTGATCATGTAAAGTTCTGAGTGGGTTCAGGTGGGTACATGAAGTTCATTTGAAAGACCCCTTCATCTTCATTAATGTCATAGCAACCCACCCCTCATTGTCATATAGGCAAGCAACATACTTTATCGTTCGAGTCCCAATGCCATTCTCTCCCTTCTTAGAAAGAAAAGCAAAGTTTCCTGCAAAGTCTCTGTCATCAGAAAATTACTTGAAAGTAATCTTTTCATCTTTAAGTGGAACAAACTGATTGTAAAAATTCTGTTTGTGGTTGTACTACATATCAAAATTCATTAATTCCAGTTGCCATTAACAAAACATACAGAGATATGATAGACATGACTGTCTGCTGCAAGGACAGTAGGCAATGTATAGCGCACAGACGAGGCAACTGTTCAGGGACGTCTGTACTTAAAAGGTTTCTTGATCAGTGTTTACATGATGGTGATAGTGATGTTTTATTTCAGCATGGTGATAACACTAGAAGATCAAAAATAGTAACAAGGTTCTTGAGTATTGCTGATTTTGTTGAGCTGCTGGTAAAGTGTATTGTTGCTTTGACATTTCATTCTTTTGTTACACAATGGCAGTCAAAATACCTTAAGTGAAAGGAAGAAATGAAGATGATTCTTGTTTTTTGGCTGACTTTGCCGAAAACTATGAATTTTTCACTTAAGATGAAATTCAGTCAGCCCATTGGAACAAGCAAAATTGCATGCTACACCCCAGTTTCATCTACTTAAAGATAAAAAGATTACTTTCAAGTAATTTTCTGATGACAGAGACTTTGCAGGAAACTTTGCTTTTCTTTCTAAGAAGGGAGAGAATGGCATTGGGACTCGAACGATAAAGTATGTTGCTTGCCTATATGACAATGAGGGGTGGGTTGCTATGACATTAATGAAGATGAAGGGGTCTTTCAAATGAACTTCATGTACCCACCTGAACCCACTCAGAACTTTACATGATCAAGCAGATCAGACATATGCTGGGTATCACATTTACATGCTTTGCAAAACTGATTCATCCAAAACAATTACCGGTCAAACTTAGAGCTTCAGCTACAGTGACTATAAAGCAGTATCTCAGCTTGTCCATGGCTAGGGATAATTTTTAATTATTCTTTGTTGTCTCTGAATGTGAAATCATGATTGATTCAATGTTTTTAGCAGCTATTTTTATTTCATGCAATATTACCTTAATTACAAATTTGTTTTTGCTCATGATTCTTGCAAAATTATACCCATTTTGTAAGGTGCAATTAACTCAAAATACTTCAATTGCAATTGTAATCTCAAACATTTTCTGATAGCCCAAAGAATAAACTTTCAGAATATAGCAAGCTTCTAATGCTATGATTCCAGCTACAGGACTTTTTTTCAATATTTATATACATCGGTTGGGAATATTTTCAAAACAAGTGATAACTTTTAACATATGACTATCTGCTTCACCTTAGAATTGTCAAATTGTCAAATTCTGATGCAATATTTGAAATCTACAGTATCAAATCAATAATTGACATTATTTTCAAGCAAATATTTACAACTATAAAAAAGTTACAGCTATTGATAGAAAGCCGCGCCTATCGCTTGGTAAACTGGGTGTGGCATATTTGGCTAAAACGGGTCATTTTTGAAACGGCTATAAAATCGCAACCGTAAGAGATATAAGGATAAAATTTTGTATGTGCTGTTTTCTCCAAAATGGCTTTTTGTGGTAAAAAAATCAGGAAATTCTAAGACCATGGGTTACATGGGTCTGATGATTTGACATGGAATGACCCAGTACGTTTTTTCAATTAATGTCACTTCATCATGAATTGAGCATTTTTGAGAACAACATCCAGCAAATTATTATCTTTAATACTCGAATTCGCATAAATATTTTGCATAGACTATCTATTGTAAACTCAGTTTGGAAATCAAAGGAAAAACTTTGGGATAGTTCCCTCTTTTGGCCATAATAACAACATATTGGGGACCCCAGGGAGGGAGGCACCTGACTAGGAAGTGATTGATACTGTCTTTGAGATACTTTGTACAGGACAAGGTATGTAATCCAGATGGAATTCATGTAGCTTGCACTGGAGATATTCGGCATGGAATAATGAATTTCCATTGTTTATATTGTTAAAAAATTTGTGTATGTCCAGCATGAGGTTTACATGGATTCCACCCTGTTTTGTAAATGGCATATTTTTATGAGATAGAGTAAGAGTGCCAAACAGTTTTCCATCCACACTGACTCTATCCCAAAAAATATGCCGATTACATAACCTGTCCTGTACAAAAAGTGAGAAAATACAGCACAATTATGCCAAAATATACCACTGCTAATGTAATGATAATTATAACTAGCAGATAAAGCTGGGACATGATTTGTTTGGAAATACAAAGAGAACAACTTTTATAAATAATCACCCTATTGGCCAGAATAGCAAGAGGTTGGGCAAAGCAACATTCAATGATTTTAAAGATGCCTTTTTGTGACTAAAGCAATAAATAATAATATATTAGGATCCAATTGATTAATGTTTGTTTTCACAAATATCTGTATTTAATCTGTATTTGTTTCAAAGTTAGCAATTCTCATTAGCCTTTTTGTAACTTCTTCAGGATTTTGGGCCGCAAGTGAATTTCAAACGCAGAAAGCTGAAAGTTGGAAGTTTCACAGGGTTTCCATTCTTTTTAAAGGATGTGGTGTTGAAAATGAAAACTTTTAAAGAACTTGATAATTTTGATCCTGTGGAAGTTTGCCATTTAGAATACAGTTCTGAAAGAGGGTCAGCAATTGATCCACATATTGATGACACATGGTTATGGGGGGAACGTCTGGTTACTTTGAGCCTTTTGTCAAGTTCAATCTTAACATTACAAAATGATGAATTTCCAGAAATTGCCATCCAGATTCCGATGCCTAGATGCTCATTGCTGGTTTTACAAGGCCAGGCAAGAAACAATTGGAAACATTCTGTGAGGAGAGAAGATATTTCAAACAAAAGAATAGCAGTAACATTTAGAGAATTATCAGAGAATTTCAGCAAAGGAAGTCAGCATATAATTGGGGAAGAGGTGCTAAAAGTTGCTAATAATTTCAATGGGAAGCCACTATTTGAGGACAAAGAGTAAAGGCACCTTTGATTAGGAGGAGACAAATAACCTACCTCTGTTATTTTGTATGTCTAGCTAATTCAGAGTAGCACAATATACAGAAATAATTTTACACATTTAGAAATTAATTAGTTTAATATGCTCTTTTCAAAAGCAGAAAGTAAATTCAAGAAATCACATTTATTTTGCAAATTCGTTTTTGCTCTTGTACCAGACATGTGTCTTGATGAGGGCAAAGCCCTTATCCAATCCTTGCTGAATTGACCTTCAGCACATGTACAAAAAATTTAAAGATATACCTACTTGAACAACACAGGATTCTTTTTCAAGCTAACTTTCATGTAGATAATATGAAGAAGTTATAAATACAAAATTGATATACAATAGAATTAAATACTTTATTTTATGACTGCTTAAACAAAGCCAAGGGACATCAAACAGAATACAAAATGTTTATTTCATGAAGTCAATAGAACAGGACTGGTCTGGAAACATTTTATCACAACGTATATCACAATTTCAAGTATCACAGACAACAAGGTAATGCAGATTTTTTGAGGGATGGTCTTCATAACACAAGCTCAATTTATCTGTCTGAATGAAATTATCTCTATGGAAGCCTAACTAATTTTTGGTTAATAGATGTTATAGTTTCAAGTCTGATATGTTTAAAGGTTGCAGTCACAGGTGTACCTATGGGCACATTTGTCTCATTTAGCAAGTTTTTAGAAAAATCTTCTGTATCTTCACAGGACGTATGATATGTCCTACAAAATCCAGACAAAAATAGAAACAGAAATTTTAGTGTTATTTTGGCAATAGACTGAATAGGCACTGAAGCTTTTCTCTACCTTTCTGTGAGAAAATGTCCCAGTGACTTTATCATGACATCAGTGTCAAAAGCACCTGTCATTTTTTATAGTGTCAACATACTCAGCATGTAGAGTCAGCTTTGTCAGCTGGAAATTTTGAATAAAGAAGAGATTTTAAAAATATAGTTCCAGGCCATTCCTTGTCAAATGACAATGATTTGATTTGGGACAAGTGAAATTAGATTGCATTTGACATGAGAAACAGTAAAGAATGTGGTCATAATAAGAAACAGAAATTTATACTGTCACCTTGAAAAGGTAGATCAATAAATGAAAACTTATTGAAAGGAAATCAGAGCACTTTATCTTTAGAAAGAAAATGTATAATTCAGTTTCCATGTAATTAAAAGAAAAATATCATCAAGATTTTGAGAATGCAGTATTCTTGAATGTGTAGTGAAGTGTCGTGTTGCTTAAACTTGAATGTTTGGAGTTAAATTTGCATTTCAAGAATTCTATAACCTCCATATTTCATTTAATTAGTTTGTATAACTTTTGATTACAATATAAGAAATGTAGTCATTTAGCTAACAAAAGTTACCTTTGGAAACCTGCTTGGTATACCATATATCATGATTGATTGATCTTTAACTTTACCTGAATGTCAATCCCAAAAAACCTGTATTTATATACAAACAGCAAAGCACCAAAAGAACCTTTTTACTCTATAGATATATATATATATATATAACCAGTAGTATTTGATATAAATTCATAATTACTTCAAAATACTCCTTTAATGTCAATAACAACAATTTGTATAGAACTTCTGTATATATGAGAAAAAAATAATCCATTATATTTGTCAAACAAGCTACTACACAGCGCCCATTACACTGGCGGGCCATGGCCAACCCACTTTTTTGCAAAGAAAATAGTTTAAAAGTTGCAATAAAAGGTGAAAGAAGCCAAGCCTTCCTTTCCAATTTGTGGCATGGTCCCTGATTCAGGTGACCAATTTGATTACAAATAACCCAAGTCTAAAATACCTTTACCCATGTTGCAATTTCTAAAGCATATGTTTACAGTTTGTTATTACATTGAGCTTACTGACGTGGTTGGGTTTGCCATCTTACAGTCTGTGTAGGTATGAGAACTGTATTCTGACTTCCGATTAATGATGACACTGTAGAACCCTGCACCTCTGGATGCATCTGCACTCTGGTAGTGACTTGCTGACTCTTGGTGGTTACCTGCAGATGTGGGCCAAGGATTGTTGGGTCTTGGCTATTTGCTGCTTTCATGGCTTGGTCAGGCAGTGAACCTGGGTCTGACAGTATGGCTGTGTCTGTGCTTATTTGCCGCAAAGACCCAATCACAGCTAGAAATAAAGTATCAAATCAACATGACTAGCTTTAAGACAGCTTCAATAGTTTCCTAAAAAATACTTGGTCATTTTCTTAAGTCTATGATATTGCCATAAATACACGAGAAGTAAGAACCATTTCATCTAAATGAGTCGTCATTCGTAGCATTCCCAAGGCAATGGAAATTTGTCCTGTTCATTTGTCTCCCTCAAAATTCAACTTGTTGTCTTCACACAAGGATAAATGTGATGTTTAAAAAAGCATTAAAGACAATGATGTACTTTTATTGAGTGACAAATAGGCATCTTTTGACTCTGCTGCCCCTGAGGTTTAAAACTTTTAAGATATTTGTTATACATTGTTAAAAACCTTAATGGTACTCTGTGTTTCAAAATAAAAAGATTAATTTAATCATGGCATGCCTTAAATATGTGACATAGTATTTTTGTGCTTCAGAAATTTAGACATTTCGTACTTTGTGAAAGAAAGTGATGTCACTATTTTTGGCTGTATTAGGGCTTGGAGGCAAGCCTTTTTATCAATAAAATAGATGTGTAGATCAAAAAAATTATTTTGCTGACATATAAAACATCAGCAACAAAGACCTGATCGTTGATGTGATGCTAACATTTTCTATAGTTTCGTCTATTATAATGTTGACACAAAATAAGAATGGACTTAAAGGTTTTAAAATAACCTTTTTAATGTAGCTCGTAATGAAACGTTTCTTAGATTATAAAAATAACAAAAATAAGATGAGGGAGAAAGAAAAATGAAACATGGTTAACATAAAAACATTAACTTTAAAAAAATCAACAAAAGAACTATAAGCTAAAAAATATTTTAAGCAATTTTGTACAGTTGGGATATTGCTGTGTAAAATCTTATCTTAAATATCTCTGGTAACAAAATGCATTTAACAAAAAAGGCTCTTGATGCCCTTGATATGAAAAACTTCAAACTGTGCTAGAATTTATAATTACGTCTAGATTTTATCGTTTTTAGTAGAAATGGATTATCGATAGAATCGTACTTTGAAGCTTTCATGACGATACTTTTAAAGAACAAATATGCCGATTCTTTATTTCTCATATTCTCAAAAAGTTTTCTTCCGGCAGTTCCTTTTCCTTCAACAACTGATTTCTGTCTTTTTGCAACGTTTTTGAAAAAGTTTCCGTTAACGAATAGACCTTGCGAGCCAAGTTTAGGCCAAAGAAAAACAAAACTTCATCACTTTATGCTGGCACCAACTTATTTCGGATCTTTATTTCGATTTATTACCTAAGCCAAGCTTTTAATCGTGGTATAACTTAGACAATGACCGATTTGTTTGATCAAATTCTCATGCTCAAATTTATTCATGATAAGGACATGGTAACCAAGCTAAAAGTAAGGGCATATTTAAGGGAACACTAGGCACAGTTACTTACAGAATGGTAGGCTACATTTCTTTCCACTTTTGTTTAAAGCTTTCTATTTGCTCTGCAGAAAAGCGGCGGGGGGGGAGGGGGAGGGGGCGGGGGGGGAGGGGGGTGCAGGGTTCTCCGGCCACCCCGGTTTCGCCTGCCCTGCGCTATAGTAAGCCAATGCTCTGTCTGAAAGTCTGAATTGTTCAATCGACTGCATCTTATAGCCGTTAGCTTGCTACTTATGGCAAGTTAGTTGCGATATTACAAAAAAGAAAGTTGAGTATGACCAACCATGACCAAAAAATAAATGAATTACGGGTTGAAATTTGGACAACCTTCCTAATTAACGCTAAGGTCTCCGCTGTATGACCAACTTTCTTGGACTTTGCAGACATTGGGGGGGGGGGGGGCGTGACGTGGGGGAAAAGGTCGAAAAGAAAGGAAGATACAATGAAAAGACACCTTAGTTTTTGTGGTTCCCTTATTGTATAAGGCAAAGAGAAGTCCCCCTCCTCCCTGTTAAAAATCGAATTTTGAAGATTGGACATTTTCTGAACAAGGAATAAATAAAGAATACGTAAGAAAAAATGTATTCAAACCTGGTCTTAGAACTGGCAGTGAGCAATGTTCTTCAAACCATTTTAAGACTGACTGGATAAACTCTTGTAAAGTTTTAGTGACAGTCTTTTTGTTGTATGATTCAAACAAAGGACGCAACAGTACAGAAAACTTGTAAAGTTAAGGCTGAAAACTAGTATTGCTGCATGGAATTATTCTAATACAGATGGTATCAAGTCAATAAACGATAGAAAGAAAACAAGAAATGGAGTAAAATTTGTAATTGCATTGGGTATTTTTAATATAAGGTAAATGTCCCACAGAAACATAAGAAATAAATGAAAATGTTTAACAAATCATGACTCTGTTTGTTGCACTTCCTTCCTCTAAAACAATGAATTTTCACATAAAGCTGAAAGAGTAACATATTTCAAAGAAAGATATCAAAAAAGGGACATTAGCTAGAGTATTTACAAAACCCCCTATCTCCCAGTTTACCTCTATTGCTTTTGGGTCAGTTATTCATTGGCTTGTTAAAACTTATGCTTAGACATTAAACAACCATTTCTATACTATTTTCTACTTAAGTTGATAGCATAATATTACAACCATCACCAAATGTCCTACGCTGACTCACAAGCCAGACACACCAAATGCCCTACGCTAACTCACAAGCTACTCCTACAAAAGTAAGGTGACTGTGGCACCCTTATTATGTTAAAATTGCAGTTGGTTAATAAAGGATACAAGCCAGTATTTTGGATCTGTTACAATTCTTCCTCTCACAAGTTCCAAATACGACGTCTTTGCATCACGATTATTCTCCTAGACAATAAAGGGACGGTCAGAAGCAAACCAAAGTGGTAGTTTGGCATAAATATAAACATTTCTATTTCCTTAAAGTCAAGGTGGGATTCGAGCCCACTTGTTGACCATCCAGTTGACTTTTATCACTCGTCGAGGCTACAATCCTTCCAAAAACAAGAGGCTACTATCCTTGCCAAAATACTTAACGAAGTTATCAAAACATAACACACTGTCAAACGAAATAAATGCTGGGTATTGCTGGCTGTGACAAAGGAAGCCATGGATCGCAAGAAAATAGAAATAGGTAAAACGTTGAGCTAGGTGTTCAAGCTCTAAAATTAAGACCTTTGCTGTAGAAACATTCAAGCTACATTTGGGTACAGAAACATTTGACAAGGCAATCTAGGATCATATGGAGAATGTGGAAAAAATTCGGGGTCACCGAGGAAGTCTATACTATTATGCACGTTTGAAGAGCAGAATACAAAATCATGACCCTTGAATGTCACAACAAAGGAAGGGAATACTGTAACAAAAATCTTTTGGGAAAATATATAACAACAAATTCATGCATTGTAAAGAATATATTTTGAAAACAAAACATGTTGATTGAAACACTATTTTTAGCAAATAACAACAAGCTAAAGCACTTCAACCCTTCCTAACAACGGTATGAACAAAAAAATCCATTTCAACAAAAACAGACCTGTTCAGAAATTGCTCCACCAGCTGGAAGCTTTTGCTGACAAATTCTGCAAGATAGTTGGAGTACAAAGAAGTTAAACAGAGAATACAATATTCTGAAGCTCAGTACATCTGAATAATTGCAATTCAATAAAACTGAAGCACAAACAGATTTGCCATGCTGAGTATATTCGTACATACTTTCTATGGTCAGTTAAATAAAGACTTTTGCAGTTGAAAAAATTCTCTTGGTAGGTAAATGTCATCGTAAAAATATTCATTACGCTTGAGGTAGCAATATTTCATTCAATGGGGCTTTCTTGTGCTTAAATAAGCCAAGCTGTTTTATAGCCTATAAAAGCATTTTAATTGTTTATCGAGGGTCGAATATTCGAGTCAGGGCTTTAGTTGCTTGATAGTTATCATTTGCTATCAGCCCATATTGAAATAGTGGCATAGGGGACACAATCCCCCGTCTCTTATACACTAATGGCAAATACTTCAACGGTCAAAACTTATGTGACAAATATTGTCTCATTGCCATACCCCACCTCCATTGAATTCAATCGATACGAAGCCCCTGTCAATGCAATTATGATTCACTGATTAAGTAGCACGAAGAAATGATTGAGAACAAATAGTTTACTTTATCTCTTCGTTTAGTCGATTGACTTCTCTGCGTGCTTTCTCTATTTTGTATTTCGTTAGCTCCTTCTCCCTTTGAAGATGGTCAATGTAGTCGACAGCTTAAATAGAAACACAGTGAAGACCATCAATATTAGGACATGTGGCCAGAGATACATAGCTTAATGACAGGTTCACATCACCAATAGACCACCAACTAGACTGGTTTTATAAAAACCTAACTTTTAAACGTAAGGTGGATGATGATAGGCAAGCAAGGAAAACAAACATCTGAAATGATGGCAACATTTATATAAAAACGACTTGAGATTTTTAGAGGCTCGTATTAACGCCACATGAAGACCTAGAAAAAGGCGATGTAAACAAAGAAAAGGACGCAAAATTACATCATAATTTCAAGATCCTTCCAAATCAGAACAGTATTTCCATGAAGATGTGTTTGTCGAATTCCTCCAGAAGATCAAATTTCTTTTCTCAAAGATCAACGTTTTAACATATTTTCTCTCTAAGAGACTTACTGATGGGATTTTGAAAGCTACAAATATCAAACCAATAGACACAAATGCGTCTTATCATTTCTATTTGTTCTTACTGGGGGCCTTTTGCTTTTAAAGAAAACTGCTAGGATCATGCAATACATTTCATGTTCAATAAAAGAGTTCAGTTTAGTTACATTAGCAATATATGCATTAAAAAGCGCTTAATCCTGATAAAAATACAGAGTGTATACCCGATACCCTAAGCCATGATTTTAGAACAGCAACACTATTGTTGGAGCATTGACTGACCACAAGATATCTTGCACAATTTTACGTAGGAAATGCATAAGTGTCTATTTCTCAGATTATTCAAATTCATCCTTACTCATTCAGTTACATCTGGTTAGGGGGAGGGGGGCTCCCTCCTCAATTAGTTTACCTATTCAGGGGGCTCCTCCTTTAAGTTATTTCTTGCTTACAATTCATTTGTTTCTCTGTTGGTATTTGTATTCAGTAACATGACTTATCCTTGTAGTCTACTTATATCCTTTCTGTATGTATTGTTAATATTCTTGAATTGTATGCAATGGAATTTAAAATATAAAACTGAACTGAACTGAACTAAACTAAACTAAACTGAACAGGAAGTGGCCTCGTAATGATGTGGAAAATAGGGCCTGCCCATGAAATATTTTAAAAATGGGTGCCGAGATCACGTGGAACTAAGCTAATCGCGCCGAAAGAAGATGACCCTAAGTAGGGGAAGCCTATTTACCATAAATCAATGCCTTCATGATAGACTTTGGTAGAAAACAATCAAAAAAAAGAATGCGAAAGAAATCAATGAGAAAAATAAACCTTTTTGGAGGACAAGAGCTTTGCTTGTTCTTCCTTGCTTGTCGTTTTGAAGACTTGGTATCAATGAAATTAGCTGGTCAAATGCAACCTAAAAAACAAATTCAAGTAAAACAGTAGGCAATACATGAATAAATACAATCTTTCTAATCAGACTTCAATCAGTTCTCCTCGAGAAAGTGACAGAAAATGGCCAGAAGAAACAATCGTTTTGGGTAAAAAGCGATCCAGAAAACTTAATCAGAATTGAACAAAACAGGTGAACAAAACAAAATCTTTTTCACCAGCTTAAGCCTAGTGCACACAGCAGATTTCTGTCGAAAAAACGAATCAATGAGAAATCTTCAAACTCGACATTCAGTCAAGACAGAGGCAGGTCATTTGATTACAAAAAGGTACAAACATGGCGAAAGTATTTTAATAATTGGGATCAGGTGAAAACATTTTGTGAAAACATCAAAGAACCATTCACACCCTTAAGGCATTTGCGCAATGACAGGGCAGAGGGCCGGGTGATCATCCTTAAGTGACAATACCTTTATAAGACCACGTCTTTTCTGTTCAGCAGTCACGTGGTTTTTTCGTCGATATTCCTAAGAAGACACAAGCGATATTCAGTCTCTATAATGTGGCACATAAGCCTATATTTACTCATTGCTTTCTGAGAATATCAACAGGTATGATATTTATCTTCTGGCTCCAAAGCTGCCACATTGGAAAGTTCTAAACAAATCTTATTCGCAGTTGCATAGGAAAACAAGTAATTACTTGGCTCTTTACAGGTACAAAACACTTTAGTGACAATACAAGACATAAATGATATTCCTCCAGCGACAACGATTTGCTTACTCGTACTCTTTTCTGTTTTAGCTGTGCAAAAGTTTATCAATCTGCAAACAATTGCTTTACTTCGTTTCAAATTCAGAAAAACTCTGCATTGAAGTAAAAGCAAAAATAGCTGATGTATTACAATGACAGAAGCATCTTATTATATTTGCATCCTTTCCTTGAAAAACCTTTTATATAAACCCTGAACAGGCCTTAAAAAAATGACACGAATGATCGGTATAGGACACCTTGTAAACTTCTCTGTCCTCGAATCTCAAGCGAGAGCGCTGTGAATGAAAAAGTAGAATACAAATATTGGTCATAAAATACAACAGGAAACATTGAGGATAGCAATGTTGGCTTCCACTAAATAACATAATAATATAGCCCATGATTGATATTTTGAATAACACTTGCTTTACTCCCAGGCTCTCCATTGTCAATTTTATTCAACATGGATACCGTACAATAGGCAACATAGAATGTTGCATTTAAGGTAAGATAAAATGTTGCTTATAATGGCTGAGGAGGAAACATGTCCAACACAATAATAATATTCATATTAAATTATTTATACACTTAAAAATCCCTTCAGCATTTCAAAAAAAATAATTAAATTAAATTTACAATTCAAATACAATAAATTTTTAGGGCATATTTGCTGCTTTTCAAAGGAGTCGTGTTTTGATTTAATTTCAGCTCTTGAAATATGATTTTAATGGTTTTTCAACTGCAGGAGGGTGGCCAGTTCCAGTTATTCTTGACTTCTCGTGCCTCTAATGTTGGTAACTAAGGTTAAGTGGCATATTATATAATCAACATCAAACTGTTACATACCTTAGCATTGTTTGCGTCACTTCTTATAGATGCTGGGGAATCTGGAAACAGGAACTGATTCATTAGAAATGTCCTTTCATAATACAAACTCGCTCTTGAAATTGATAACTATTACAACAGAGTGCTATGTCTTCTATAACGGTGAACCTTGTATATAAACGTTTGAAGATCATCCATCAATAGACTTAAGCTTTCCCACAAAAACATTTCAATTCAATATTCTATGCAGCGGCAATAATACTATCTGTTCATTTCCCAGTAGACAAAGTACACTAAAATAATTTAGAACCAATACACTTGCTTCTTAGGTGACCAAGTATATAAATACATAGCCGTCAGAAACTTCAAGAGATGGGGGGAGGAGGGAATTGAAGAGACAAAAGGACTAGGGCCAATAAAAATCTTACGTCACATTACTATCAAGATGTTACAAGTACTAAACGCAAATACTCATCATCACTCATCAAAACGCAGATACTACTAGTTTCAGCTTCTTATATGGAATCAATGCCTGTAAGTTTATCACAGAGCTTGATTCGATGTTCACGTGTCCTTGATCCATGCATACAACATTTTTGCACAACCTTGTCAACAACTGTCCCTCAAAAGGGAGTTTTCTTCGTTGTTTTGGAATTTGAAGGACGTGGTGACTTACAAATTGTTGGGTGGGGTCCCTTAGGGCCAAATTTGTTCTGGACCTGGACTAACCTTAGACGCCCCTGCTAACCAGGATTAACTGTTTTCAAAACCAATAGAATGCATCTTACCTGACGCAGCAATCGTAGGTATTGCTTGAACAACACAACTGACGACGGAGGTTGACAAGTCATCCTGAAAAACAATTCTTGTAAGTCACATATTTCATAGAACGAGAAAGGAACCTTGGTATCAGTGATTGTGCATCTTTAAGATAGTGATTGTGCATCTTTAAGATATTTTCTATGGTTATTGGCATTAGTGCATTTACTTGCAGTTCATTTCATTTATTTAGCCCATTCAGGAATGCTGGTTTAAAAGTGACCATGCATCTGTAAAAAAATACTTAAAAAGGTTATTGCTGTATCACATTTTCGAGAAAAAAAACTAACTACTTTAAATACAAAATAAAGGTGGATGTATGTACAGGAGTTCAAAAAGGAGCTCTCTTTGAGTTGAACTAATTGGCGATCAAGTTTAAGAGTCCCTTTTTGCACTGCCACTTTTTACACTACCTCCAACTTGCAATCCAATTGACGCGGAATGCATGGCTTTGGGTCAATTTTAGGTCCTCTTTCAGTCTAGCAGTACCGATGTGCCCTGATATGGGGCGCAACTAGTCTACAGGTGTTTGTGGATATCTTATATATACTGGTCACTGCATCTCAGTGGGATGAAACACAACGTCAAAGCTGTCAAAGTCTAGCGACACCGCTTTGCAGTACAGCTTTTAGTGATATTCCTTTAAAGTTTGTTCAAGAGGCTTAGACTCAAGGGCGCTTTTTTCCTCTTCCTATTTCCTTCCACGCATTGCTGTCATCTTCAAGAGCAAGGTTCTCTAAAGTGGTAAATATCGACCCCTGGGGGCTATCTGAGGGACAGGAAGGTGCATGTAGAAAATGAGCGTATACTTCATTATCATCAGTATCCAGTTTTATGTGCATGCCAGAGGGTCAATGAGTAATAAAGGATTCCATGAAGAGTACATGCCGAGATACATAAGATAAAAAGCTTGGGGAACCCTGTACTGCCAATGCCGAACGCCGTGTAAGCAGCTATCTTCATTAAAGTCACAGATATAATTGAAAGTAACTGGGTGCGTAACTATATTACAGTGCATAAATTCAGATCAAAGAAATGTTGTTCCTTCTTACCAAAAAACTGTTCAGTTCTAAAACTTGTTGGTGATGGCACTATAAGGATATTGTTAAAGTTATGCTTGGAAATATATCAACTGCTGCAACAGAGCCCTAAACAAATGACTTGTATGGGCAAAGACCCGGCGGAAGGCGAATAAAAATAAACGAAATTAAAAGCCCCTGCCAGGTACGTTGGAATGTTTTCAAATCTTGAGGAATTCGCACGGAGGAAAGACGAATACTTTACTGTGTTCTTTACTACAGTTGATCTCAATTTGAATAGATGGACCAGTCTAACAGACCAGGCTATTATTACATTAGACTAATAGATCAGGCTGTTTTAAACATATAGGCTATATGCTTCAAATTTGTTTACGTTTTAATTAGATAGAATAGACGAGGCTGTATGTTGAAAAGCGTAACTGATTATGCTAAACGTTATGTTCATGATGATATTATTCATGATAAAATTAATACCTATATATAATTTAGTAAATTAACCATAGTTATATGTGACAAAAGCCTGCTCGAACTGATAAGGAAAATTGTATGATAGAAGGCAGTCGATACAAAAAATCAATTATGAGGTTGGGTAGCTGCTCTAGGCCCAGGTTGCACTATTATCCACTAAGGCATCACAGATGTAACAAGTTACTTGCAGTCTCGTGAATGCAATAAATAAGGCTCAAATTGTGTGAGAAATTTCTCAAATTGGCATTCTCTCAAATCTATACGAGATTAACTATTTCTTACTATACTTTGGAATGCTAGTTATGTAGTGAGAACATGGCAATCATTTTGAATTTTGGAAGGCTGAGACAAACCCTGTAAAACTGCTCATTTTCTAGAAACTTTGGATTAGAATTATTAGGAGCCGACAATTTTTAAAGTGCAAAAAATATAAAATGCTGTAAAGTAGAAACGAAGACAATAACTCACCGTAGAGGTTGCAGCAGCAGAACCTTCCAATGTCTTAGTCTCGAGACTTGGGAGTTTGTCAGTCAAATATGTTCTTTGGCTTGCTGCAATTGCTAAGTCTACCATAGTAGGCCTTGCAGACGCCTTTGTAACTGTACTGTCAACTGGTATAGCAATGGTGGTAGACCCAGGAAGCAGCGGCTCTGATGAAGATCGAAATTTTATATTGCTAACAAGGCTATTGCCCAGCGCTTGAGCAATCGATATACCCACTCCAGATGAGTCCAAGGTTGAAAAGTGTGGACTTGACTGCACTCCAACGATTACTTGCTGCTGTGCAGAACCAGTAACAGACTGGACGACTGGCAACTGCGATGCGGAGGAGCCGTAAGGGAATTGCAAAACTGTCTGATGTGGCAGCCCACCTGCAGGCTGAGGCGAGGGCATCAAACCTGGCAAAGTTTGGTATGTGACACTTTGATTGACAGTATTGTCATGGACAGGCACCACAATGGTTGAAGTCCTACTGCCAACTGAAAGTGAATTGTCCCCTTTTGGCATAAATATTTGAGTTGAGATTGGTGGCGGCGCAGGGTTGATTCGTGCAGAGGCCTGTGATTGATTGTGTTGTTGGCGCTTTTGCTTCTTCATAGGAATTGAGCTAGTGAGTGAGATTGTTGACCGGGTGTTCCCATCAAGCAGCATCTCTGCTTCAGGGTGTATCGCAAGCTTGCTAACATTCGTAACTTTCTGCTCGCTCATTCCGGATACCTGAAATGACTGGCTGCCAGCAATTCTAGCAAATGGCGCAGATACTTTCTCCACAGAAGGAGTATGCGCTTTTTGCTGTACATCTAAACAGCTGCTTGTTGGCGCAGAGTAAACATTTCTAGCAAAAGACTGACTGTCTGGGATGCTTGATGTCAATACACTTCCCGAAGGATTTGCTGAAGAAATTTGGTTATTCTCAGATGTGGGCGGCTGCGACTTTAACATTTCTTGTTGCTGTACAAGTAAAGCGTTTAACTGCTTCTGCAGCACCTCCAAATACGCTATTGTAGTTTCCTGTTCTACAGCCCCTGTTCTCGAGCCCTGAAGAATTTGAGCCAAATTTACTAGTTGTTGCTCCGAAAGACCTTGTAATGGTGCAATCGACTCAGTCTTGTCAGAATCTTGAATAACAACGGGCACTTTATGCTCGACAGCAGCGACTGTCGTCATGTTTGTATTATTCAAAGGTGCAACCTGTTGGACCGTCGATGAGATGCCTTTGCTGGAATGACCAACAATGTCAGTCGTTATATTATACGGCGTTTGAACAGTTGAAGTCTTTTGTATGACGCTGGTCATGGCAATAGACCTCACTGGTTCCGACTGCATTGGCATGATTAATGATGGTTGAAATCCTGGCCTGGTTAAAGGCATTTCATTACCCGTGACAGAAAGTATCTGACTCTGTGTCTTACTTCCAGATCCTTCATTTGTCACAGAAATTCTTTGTTGTGCCAAATCCTGTTGAAAAGATGCTTGAAAGCTTGTTGTTTGTTGTTGTGTCTTTGAAAGAGCCAGGCTCGGAGCCACAGTAGCTGATGGGAGCACAACACTCAGTTGTTTCCCCTGGCTTTCTAGCTGATGTCCTTTATACTGAATTACTTCAACTCTCTGTGGAGGTGCAATGCATTGCTCGGATGCTTTTGGTGGTTCTGTGGTTGCAGAAACGCTTTCAGCTTTGGTAGTCTTTGGCATGTAAAGTGTGACTTGAACTGGATTCGTGCTGGTTGGCTGTTGCTTACTTACCATAAATGTTGTAAACTGTCCCCCACTGACAGTTGTCTGGGCAACAATAGTGTCAACCTGGCTAAAAGACACCCTCGATATGCCAGAAGTTATTCTAGCTGGCGCTGGCGGCACGATTGCGATAAGGTTTTTTGGCAGTATAGGCTGAGGTCGTCTGTGAGTGCCACGCCCTAAAGCACATAGATTTGAATCTGAAAAGTTTTTTGGCAAAATAAGAGGCTTGCTGTCAACACTGATTGATGACAAGCGGCGTCTTGCCAGCACTTTAGAAGAATCTTTTGCCATTTGGACCAGATTGGTGTCGGACATATTCCTTGGTAAACGGGCTACGTTTCGTTTAGTACGAGTTGCCAATGCAACGGTGCTCTCTCTCCGAATGGTTGTGTTTCTTACCGTGTAAGGAGACACAAACTTTTCTTCTAAGGAACTGAGCTGCGTATCAGACTTATTTCGGGGTAAGGATGGGTTCTTCGACCTTGTCGACATGACTGCTTGAAGGTGGGCGGTAAGATTTGGAGCTTGAAGCTGCGGGGGAAGCTCAGCAAACTCTACAACTTTGGTTGTGGCAGTTTGGTTGACCAACATCTTACGTTGTAGTATCTGGGTAGCACTGTCTTCAGCAATCTTAGCAGATGGATTATTGCCCACCTTTTTATTTCTAGCATCGGTTCTCAAAACAGCACTGGCTGCACTTTCAATAGCAGTTGAAGATGAAGCAGCCTGACTGGGCGATGAGCCCATTGCATTAGAGAGCAGGGTTTCGAAATGTGATCCTCTACTTCCAAGATCATTCTTTCCACTGAAAAGGGTTTGCTGTATAGAACCCTGACAGACTGTAGGGTCTTGTACAAGATCCTTCTGCAAATACTTATCATTTAAAAACTGCGCTGTTCTATCTACTTCTTTCACCATGATTTTTCTTGGCGGCGACGAGGTTGTGATATCCTCAATTGTTTCAGAGATTGCCCTTTTCTCAGACGATTTTTTTGTTGACATTCTAAATTGTAGGCCTTGATCTGAACTATCGTCAGATAGCATCGACGTGAAATTTTCCATGCTTGAGTCTGCTTTTTGCAAAGGGGCACTTGGGTTTGGAGTATAAAGAACTTCTGAAGAGTACAGGTACGTAGAAGCTGATCCTAAAGTATCACCATACATCTGGTCTGTATTTAGCAAGCCTTGCTGCAGCTGTCCCCCGTTGTGTTGGATGTTGATCACCTCTTGCAGAGGGGCTACCATTTGCTGTCCAACCGTGGCAAGCGACCGTGCATTATTCTGTAAAGCCCCACTATCACCTAAAAAGAAAAACATTTTTGCTAAAGCGATGACTATTCCACTTCTTCTACTAGAAAAAGGTGTTCATAACATAAAGTTAACTTCACATATCTTACTGATAAAAAAGTATTCTTCTTGAAAAGAAGGGTGAACTTAATTTGCAGCACTTCCATGCAGTAAGCTCTCTAGCAACCAAAGATGGTTAATCATTGCATACTCAATAAGATTTACAATTCTTTTAGAAAAATGACGTTGATATGCTTTCACATTGGCTAACAAAGAATCTAGGGGCAAACTTACTTGTGAGAAAGTCGAAATTCTGTAAAAGTTCGTCGAAACATGGGTTGAGTTGATCCAGGGTGGGTTGGATCATATCAGATAAATCTAGAAGGTTCGAACAAAACGACGTATAAATTTCATTATCTACATTAGTGAAATGGAAACATTTTCACATGGTAGCAATGCCATTGAATGGTTAAAAATGTAGTTACCATGTGATCCCTGCTGATAATATTCAGCGAGTATCATAGTAAACGAATAATAAAATATTGACTCATTTCATATAGATATACATAGCAGTATTTCAAACTCTATAATCAACAAATACAAACTTTACTTTATACATTCTATCATACTGTATAGAGCATTTATCTTCATGAAACAGAGTTTAGGAAAACAACAATTATCATACATCCCAAAAATGTCTCGAAGCAAATACAGTCTTATAATACCACTCACTTTAAAGCTTGCTTTTATAAATAAAGTGTGCAGGAATGTAAATAGAATCATAAAAACTAACCCGAAAAGGTCAGGCCAAGTGAATTTTCAACAGTTGGAGGTCGGATGCTTGAAAACAGGGTATCAGGTAAATCTGCTAAAACTATAAAATGAAAAGGAATAGATTAAATTTCATTAAAAGAATAAAAATCAAATGAAAGCTTAATGGGGAAATTTATAGTAAAAAGTTCACTTATTCAGCTCAAAAGCTTATTTTAAAATTGATATCAAAATGTCTTCTATATTTTATGTCTTCCAATTTTGTTTCTTTACGTTTACCCTTTAATCTGCCCCAAAACAAAAACATGCATGAAATGCTCTTGAAAGACCGGCATCTCCATAGAAAGTTCAATGGCATGCTGATTCAATTCCAACATGTGAAAAACAAGAAATGCTGTTGAAAATTGTATCCCTTACTGATAAAACTCGTACAATTTTTACGAAAGTTTACTGGTTCTAGCTTTAAAAACTGTATATTCAAAATTTGTTATCATACTAATTTCAAATTCTTCAACAAATTAATTTATCAATAGGATCAACAAAGCAAATATAAAGTTACTATAAAGCATTATACACTTTATCCTTTGAAATAAAAAGTAGTTTGTAAGGAACAAACAAAATCATCTAAAAAAACAAGATATTCTAGAGAGGACAACATATACAGATAGGTATGGTATGTGCAACCTGACATTTGAATGAATTTTTCAAAGCAAATGCTAAAACGCACACAGCTTGATAAATGCTGGAATGTTAACTTACATGTATCTAGTTCTAAATTTGTTGATTCAAACAGCTTCTGAGCAGGTACTGGTGCTTTTGCATCTGTCTTTGTGGGTGAAACCCTACAATGAAAATCACAAATTGAAAGAAAGAAGTGACAAAAATAAGCCAGGTCTCATTCTTGGGCAAAAACATGATCTATATTTATGATCATTATCTCCTTTTTCAATTTCTGTGTACTCTTTATAAAACAGTCAATTAGATAGGAACAATCTTCGTTTCTGAATACATAATATTAATTTTCATGTATCATTTATTATCCTAATATTTGGACAAGCTAGAAAACACGATAATTCCTAAAAAAGCAAAAATATCATTTCTTCTTTCATCACAAATTTTTTAAGGGGAAAACAATTTTTACACCAAAAATCACCCATTGTTTACCTGAGTTTCTTTTTATCATTATCTTCTTCCTCATCACTAGTAAACTCATCCTCAGAATTCTAAAAGAAAATATTCAGTACCATAAGAATATGTATAGAGAGTCAAAAAACATCTAAATATTGAAGCAATGCTACTGCTAATACCGTTGAAATCCAAATATTTTTGTCGTAGATATATTTGGGGGAGTATATTCAGAAGACTAGAATCAAGATTCAGTTACTGTCTGTATAAAAAGCAGAATGCGAGTTTTCAAGCAGAAATGACAAGATTGGTCATGTTCTGGAGAAACTTGCAATCAATTTGCAATAATTGTGGCAAGATGGGTTTATTAAAAAAAATCACAGGAAATAAGCTGGTGAAGATAGAAAGCCCCAGACTCAAGGAAGAGGAACTGAGATACCCTGTATATATAATGTTTTTTGTAATTTGTCTCGGAAATGGCACATGTTTGTGTTGAAGGGAGAAATTCATGCTTTATATTTAATTGCCTTGAGCTTATTATAGACCTGGGGGCTAAAATTCAGCAGCAAGCTTATGTCCCAGGAATGGAGGGCTTATATTTGGGGAGACTTCATTGGGAGGACTATATTTGGAATTTTATGCAATTGTGCCTTACTTTATATCTATTTTAAGTTGTTCTGTCATACCTGTTTCAAACATTATTTCTAGCCTGTACAGCCACACTTTCATGAAACTTTTATTTCATGAGCCAAATTCACAAAATCAAACTGGTTTTATACTTTTCTACAACATATACTCAACTTTATTAATTATCACACTAAATCTAACTGGGAACTCAAAGAGAAAAATACATGCAATAACTGGGACCTCAAAGAGAAAAATACATGCAAGGACTGATGTAAATAAATGCAAGATTGACCCATACCAGTTTGGCAGTGGATCCATAATATTAAAACATAAAACATTCATTATATATCTAACAAAAGGATAGAATGTGAGATATAGAAAATGTATTTGGCTTTTTATAAATTTTTCTAGAAAATCAGGGAAAACATTTTTCTGGTGGCACATTAACATTAAAATGAACAACAAGAAGCGAATGTATCCAGAGTCTATAAAACTTGTCATATCATTCTATTCTCATAAAGGCTCAAATGATTATCTTTGATTGACTTGCATAGTAACATTGATTCTGCAACTTTTATTAAATGTTCAAAGAAATAAGGATTTGTTCTGGCTATGTAACAAAGAAAAATCAAAGGCTAGATGGACCAAAATGTATTTTAAAATGCTATCAAGTAAGTGACATACATTTGATAGCTGTTTCAAATTTTCTGTTTCCTCTGTATCTCCTTTCAGAATCTGGAAAAGAAACAATTTGAAAACAAATGTTCATCCTAGGAAGACAGTGTGATGAAAAAGAATTTATGTAAATGTAATGTTAGATACAAGATAGATTTGGCTTTCATTCTTCCATTTAGAATTAGCATGGTGTAAACTAAAACCTCAATCCAGAGAGTGAAAAAAACAATCTAAAGTAACTCAAATATGATATCATGTAACTTAAGCCTCAGAAAACAAAACCTTTCACAATATAAATGTAACTTAGACACAGTTAGTCATTATTTCCAACCAATATTCTTTCACATGCCATGACAATAAAGAAAGCAATGTAAATCAAAATTGGATACAGCCATGAAAACGTTATACTAGAAATCACAAATTTTCACCTTGAAATTGTAGAATTTTCTCCATTTTTTGTACTCTCTGGAAACAATGTCAAGTCTTCTTTTCCATGTCTTTCCATCCAGGATTACAGCCTAAAGAATAAAAATTATAAAACTTGAATTCTATCACGCATTGCAACAGGCCTTGCCCGGAAAGGCGCTTGATCGAGCGCGCGCGCCTAGAGCGCACCCAAAAGAAGCCTTGGGGAGCGATTTATAGAGCCCCTCAAAATTTCAAAACAATATTACCACAGAGCAAAATAATTTCTTGGCCTTTGTCTAATAAACTTGATCAAGCAAAAACAATCTTCCCAATAGACCGCAATATTATGATTTGCGTAAGATCACCCCTTGAGAAAAAAATTCAGCAAATTCAATGTTGGGTTTTCGATACCATTTTTAATCTAATAACCCTCTAATAACCACCAAGGTCACAGGCCATCAACCCTCATTATTTTCTGTTTTTCTTAATAATTTAAAATCACCTTTGCAAATCAGAGATCACATTTCTGTCCAAATTACTGCATTGCTTTTCAGTTTTCATTTGTTTTCGCAAGTAGTAGATGTTCTAGTGTGTCTTATAGAATGAATAGCATAAAAAGGGAAACAAAGCTAATGTTCCACTTAAAGCCATGCGTTTTCCTATATTTCTATATTTGTATTAACATAGTGTTTGCTGCATGTTTTGTTATTTCATATTATGGTGCTTTTTGGTATCACCGTAAGAATTTCTTATTTAACACTCTTTCAAAGCTTTTGATATGAAGCTCTCGATCTTCCAAAGCTCTTGAAGGATGCTCTCAAGGATATTTTATTTAAAGGTGCTAAATAGAGCGCCTAGAGTTTCTAAGGGGCTCTTTTTATGGAGCACCTTCATTTTGCTTAGAGCAAGGCCTGATTGCAATATGACACAAAAAATGATCAGAAATAACAAATTTGTTCTTATTATCTCAAGCAAAGGTTGAATGGTTTAAGCAAAAAAAAATTACCTGAGGTGTACTGTGAACAGTTTGATCTGAGAAGGGCATGTCAAACTTGAAAAATATTGGTCTCTTTTGTTCTTTGTCTAAATCAAGACAAACCATAATTCCATAAATCCGAATATTAATAGATACATGACACAAAATAGCAAAACACAAACCATAGTTAATAATACTATTTCATAAAACACAACTCTTGAATTCACTAAAACTCTGGTCATAAATATTTTAGGATATAAGGTAGACTTTGATGGAAACTTCTTAACTGTTTTCGTTGTTGTTGCAATATACTTCAAAATATCAAATAGTCACATTAAAAATTTTAAAAATCACAGAAGACTTCATACAAAGTTTCATGACTACAAGAAAAAGGGAAATATTTTACCCCATAATAAAGAAAGCTAAATACTCCTAAAAACATGAAACATCAAATCTGTGTCTCATTTCCTAATGCTTATTGTTTTGACTTACTGACAACAGCTAGCCCCTCACATAGTTGAAAGGTCTGATTAAGGAAACTCTACCATCTGCCCAAATCTGGACATTTGCAAAAATATAGACACATCTCAAACATCTAAATGAACAGATGATCTGACTTGCTTAACATTTAGACATTTCATTTACAGATGTTTCTCTTAACTATTGAATCGCAATTGTTGAATCAGGCCCCATTTCACTTTCAGGACTCAAAAATTGCTCATTTTTAGGATTCAACCAAAACATATAAATGCTTTTAAGAACATTTGTCCTGGAAAATTGTTTGGTGTGCTTCTCTCTAAAGGTAAACTAAATAATTGTTTCAAACCTTTCCAATAAAAATAAAAAAACCCATCTTAATAGTCAAATATTTAATTAGAAAAAGTGAAATTTGGCTTAAATAATATCCGAATAAAATAAAAACATCAAATTTTATATACATTGAATATGCCAGCATCTCCAGATGGCATTGTTTATCCTTGTTTTTGACTCAAATCTGAACTTCTGGCTTCTAAAGTTTTTCCACTTGGGACTGATGAGCTTGCTTACACTGAAAAATTTAAAAAATTAAGCATAGAGGCAATCCATGTAAAAAGAAGTGAACAACAACTTGTAAAACCCGTTAGTAAAAATCAATGAGTGTGTGAACTACTTTATTAAATAATAAATTGAGATGTGTTTATTATTTAACAGTTACATCGTCATATGTTACAAATATAGTATTTTTATGCAAAAAATTAGAGATCTTGAAAGTAAACAGCTTAATAATATGCAAATTCAAATTGGTTTCGAATAGGAAATTTGATTCGAAGGTCGTGCAAATAAAGTAACCAGAAACCAGTCATAATTCATTTATCAATGCGGCGCTGTTTGCTTTTGAAATTTCGACTTTATTTACATAACAGCGTAAGGCATAACTACTCCATATAACCTCACGATACAAGTTAATCAAAACTTTGAAAAACTTCATATGATAAATTTAAACATTTTGGTCTCTAAAGTTTTTGGAGTGAAAGTCCTTCCTTACCTGTATTCTATCGACATACACTCCAATAACTTCGCCAAGGAATCGTCCATGCTAAATAGCAACTTCTTTCTCCATTCAGGATCTTTCTTCTTGTATCTCGTTGACATAAACATGGTTCTTGCTGAATAAAACACTTCAAATTGTATTCACTTAGTTAGTAACCTCGCGGGATAGTAACAGCCGTCGGTGATAGTTTATTGTGTGAGATGAATGAATCCTCCTCGGGCCTACATTATATCAATCATCTCCAATACCAATTTCAATCTCATGGATTTACCATTAGAAGTCATTTTCCAATATTACGCAACTATCGTTATTAGAAAATTGAATTTCAAGCAATCTTTACGCCATCAAGTTGACTTTTACGATAAAACATGAAGAGGCTTCCTCGTCGAAAATCTTGAAATGTGTCACGAACTGATCACAACATAAGGCATGCAGCGGCGCATGTTGATCAGCCACCATCCTCGTTTCCCTTCCATTGTTTAATTTTCAGGGTGGTTCCTGCGCAGTTACCTAAAAGTAACGCCACAAACAGGGATAAAACCAGTGCCCCTTTTTATAATTTCATGACAAATAACGAACGAAGAAGAAATTTGAAGGTACCTTATCAAACTGCCCCTTGTTGAACAGTTTTGTGATATTGTGCCTACTTACAGAAGATATACAGTAATAACGCCGTTAGGGGCATGAAGCAACGCACCACAGCCTAAGAAAAGCTCAAGGGGACAATTTTCAGTTGGAGTCCATATCCTATCTTTTTCAGTTTATCAAACTGCCCCTTTTCCCAAAATTTTATGCTGATATCACAATTTGTACAATTTTTGACCATAGCAGGCCATAGCAGCCCTAACTATAAGATGGATTTCCTATAAACTTGATCAGTTAAAGAAAAATTGGGGGAATAAAGATAAGAAAGGGAAAACATTTTTGACGGCAAATCAAAATACTCAGGTGTTAGAAGTTATTGTAATGCGGGTGAACATTTTAATCAACTTGTTGCTGAGAGCAACAGGCAATTAATTTATTGATCGAGGTAGAAGTTGTAACCTTCCAGATATCCGTACAATGTTTACTTTGCTTTGATTTATTACGGCTTTCTAAACTTTGATCGCGATAAAATACAAAGACATGATAGTCCAGGTTTTTAATTATTTATGAATATTTTATTCAGAGCTTTGAATATAGAAAAACAAGATAATAGAACTGCTTCATTTATAATATGTTAACTTTTTTTAAAAAACACGAAATCTATAATCTCCCTACATTGTCTGATTTTCTGATCCGAGACACTATCTATCTCCAGGCTTCTCCTGACAAAGTTTTTGAAAAATTCAACTTTGTGTACAAGCGTTTAACAAAGCGTATACAAGCGTGTGAATCAGGCTTTACACGTGACGAATCTTTCGCGCGAAGCAAATTTTTTGCCACGAATTTTTTAGCTGCAAACTTTTCTCTCGAATTCGAAGTTCAATTTACACTGGCAGAAATTTGTATGCGAATTCGCTGCGAATATTACAAAAGAATATAGCGACTGTCCGAAGAGTGCTCTTATCAGAAAGCTTAAAATTTTAAATTTATCGAAAAAGCGAGCAAAACAGCAAAAAGCGATACTGGATTAGAAACAATTAGTCAGGACGTCTTGAGTAGGGGGAATTCCATCTTCCGGTAAGAGAGGTTTGCAGCGAAACAGTAGGAATGGTTTCTACTTTTTCGCAGCGAATTATTCGCTGCGAATTTTCTAATCTCTACTTCTGCGCATATCTTTCGCGCATTCGCGGCGAAAAATTCGCTTCGCACGAAAAATTCGCCTCGTGTAAATCAGGCTTTACATGAAATGCTTTACGCTTACCAAGTAACATTCCAATGAGATGGAACAAAAAGCTAAAGAGCTACGGGATCTTACTAGAGTAAATATTCGTCTAAAACTTCTCTAAGTATAATCACAAGGGATGCAAAAAGGTGCGAAGAGAATCTAAAGATGAACCTGCTCTAACCTTTTATGGGTGATCTTCAAATTGTTTAGACATATCGGTAATCAACGGCATTTGCGAAAACAGACATCAAGCAAATCAAGCAAAGCCATCCAGGGACTGTTTGGCCTCCTTCCGGACCCTAAGACCGAGGCCATTATTTTGGCGCTATTTGCTTATAGGATGTCGTCAGCATATTTAACGGAAAGGAAAAAATAAGAAATACAGCAAACAAGATAATAACAAACAGGAGACGAAGAACAAACAGAGAAATAGCGACAAAGAAACAAAAAAAATAATGAATAGAAGTCAGGGAGGTAAGTGAAATGTTGATAACTGTCATATAAACACAAATGAAGTAGCCTTTTATTTAATAGTCATGAAAAGGGAAGTAGGTAGCGTGTTAAATTCACCCATGACATAGCCTACATGGTATTGTTTAGAAATATAATAGACTACTTTGCTTTAATACTTCGCTTTAAATTCATTGAACTCGGACAGTAATTGCTATGTTTATAAATTTAAAAAGTTACATAGATACAGCAGACAAACTTCATTCATTCTAAATCAATAATATATGCCCTCTTTGTTGGTAGCTTAGCTATCAGTAATTAAATACAGACATTTTAAAACGTCACCTGAACTTCAGATTCAAACCCTATGTATCAGACAAAAAGCGTGTATCTGCCCAACCACTGAAAATAGGGTCGTCGGGCAGTCTCCGTATATCAAGCCTATACCTTTTGACAGGGGAGTTGTCAGAAAATTATTTTGAGGGGTGTTCATATGTAAAAACCGTCAAATATTGATTCCTTAATTTATACCGACCATCAAGTCTGCCTTGTAAGCAGTCAATAAGCCGAATGTGCCTAGTAAAAAGACGATCCATACACTTGGACCCATACACTTGGACACTCCAACCCATTCCCCAACAATCGATTATTTTTAGACGTGTACTATCAAATCTCTTAAAACATTACCTACTTAAAACATAAAAAGCTTGGCTAGTCAGGCTTATTCTGCTGTCTTCCTTGACAAAAATTGTTATGCGCAATTAGCTCAACAGCTAGATTCCAAATCGTTCAACACTCTCGGTATTTACTATGGTTTTACTGGTGTAATATGGATACCTAAAACAATGTTATTAGGGCAATTTCACTTCGAAAGAAAACAAAGAAATACCCAACTTTGACATTTCAGGAGGGGGAAATGACTGGCCAGTTGTACCGATATTTGGAAGGAGAAAACGGGCGAGACAGGCCATCTATGCTGAACCATCCCAAGACTTGAAATACAACAGCAATCAAGAAATCAGGCAGTTTGGACAAAACAAACGCAGGTCTGTAGGATTTGGGAAGAGTGGCAGTGATATCTCGTTTGATGAAAATATAGTGCTTGATGACTTGGAAAATGACGACCTTTTTGGATTAGATACCGGAGCAAGTATCAAGGAAAGTTCTGCCAAGAAGTTCGATGGCGGGGCCTTACAAAGAAGTGCGAGGCAACACAACATGAACGAAACCATGCTGATCCAAAACCAATCACAAACACACGAACAGCCAAAGCAGAAGCTAGGCTGCGAGGGTACTCAGGTTATATCTTTGGCATCAAAAAAATATCCTCATTTTCGCCCAATTGGGCCAAGTTTAGGAACGCTCCTGGCAAGAAAAAGCTCCATTGACTTCCATACGAACCTCATGGAAAGAACAGGAAATCAAGAGAGCTTAACGAATAACACAACTCCGAACAGGGAAAGCAGTAATAGCAATGCATCTGAGGTTTGATTTGACTCCCATTCAGAATTAAAGCTATGTGTAAACGTTGGGAAAATGTAAAGGTGGAGGGGCCCAGTTCTATAAGTCGAACTTGAATTTAGTGCTTCAAAACAGAACCTCTTTGGAAATAATTTTGCTTACCAAAAAAGTGGGGGACCATGGCCCCTCCGCCCCCTGTATATTGCCCGTTCCTTCTTACATTTATTGATCAGGTTTTACTTATTATCAAAGGATTAAGCGCACTACATGCCTCAAGCAACCAGCCATGAAATTACGGGGTATGTTGCAAGCAGCTGGACCACTCTTTTCCACTATTGGCATAAGTAATCGACATTATTCCGTTACACACTAATCTATTATAAGGCCTATCATATTATTTTCATTTAATACCGCAGATTGGTAGATATTTCCTTCTTGCTCCTTAAAAGCCCACTATTACCCCTGAAATTATTTTTCGAAGCTAACACTGACATTCATTGGTATCAAAGAAGTGAAAAGTCACTTTAGGCATAATGCATTGTTTCTCTTCGAAAGAAATCTGTCAGATTGTATCAGATTGATTCAAACTTTTAGACTTCAATAACAAACCTAATTCTTTTTTTATCTGTGTTTCTAACCGTCAATCAGTCGGGTGCACAAGAAAAAAAGCCACGCAAGAAAAAAGAACCACCACTACAAGACAAATCAACTGTTCCAAGAATGCTCACCATCGATATCAAAAGCGTAAAGGAAATAAAGATGAAAAAGAGGGACATTTTTGCTTTGTACGAGATATATGGTAGGCTTTCAGGTGCTTTTCACCCTTAACTTTTCTCTTATCAGAGAATCTTGCTTTTAAGAATAAGATTCATTAAAAGTTTGGTTAATAAATTTGTATTGCTGTCTACATGTTCCCATGCTGCGTGTTGTAGAAAAAGTCACGTTATACAGTCAATAGATTAAAAGCAATCAGAACTTGATTTACTCATAAAATATTCAACAGCACCCATTCCTCTCTGTTACATTCGCTATGCATTAGCAGCAAAAATTTATGTACAGTAAACCATTTTAAACCCTCACATTCACGAACGGTACTTGCGCACTGATAAATCTTAATTGATCAGTGTTAAAATTATAATAGGTGAAACTACCATTTTACTTTATCAGATGCAGTATGTCCAACAATTTATGCACACCATCGAATAAAAAACTATCATTTTTCCTGTCCGTTCAAACCATAAAAAATAACTGCTTAAGATTTCTAGCTTAATGATCGCAAATCGCAGATTTTCCGACAGTTAGAGGGGCTCGGTCGATTTTTTGTTCCCGTTTCTTTTGTACAGTGATATTGATTCTTATAACAAATCCTGTTCTCCTCCCCCAAAAACAACACAGAAAAGATATACTTGTAAGGTTTACAATTTTTATTTCCAGGAATTCTTGAATCGGCAGTGATTTGCCTGCCAGGGCAAGCAGCAAAACGATTCACAATAAAGGACAACAGCGGCTCGCTCAGGTGCGTTACCCCTATGCGACTGCGCACTCGTTATCACTGAAACAAACTCATCTCAAATCAAATCAGTAGTATAATAACTAAAATATCTGAAACAAAAAACCATTTTTCTTATACATTTTTTATAGTCGTTGAAAAATCTACATCTGTCTATTATAGTTTGCGTTGAAAGTTTAAAAGGTTAAAGAAGATATAACTTCAAAGAGTTATACGACAAAATAACAAAGATGTGCAGTTAATATTGCTGTTACCATGGTTTTGGCTTTTATTCATGCAATTAAAAAATAACTGATAACGATTAAAGAAATGAACTGCAAATCGTAACTAAAAAGTGTTGCGTACAACGCACAACGCCTGTCGCTTTAATTTTTCTAATCAGCCCAATTGTAGCCAGGAGGGGGCTACTAGATCACAGAAACTGAGGTTTATTCTATATGGTACTCATTTAGCACTCCTTTGCAACAAATAATGCTGCATGTAGGAATGAAAGAATTATAGAAATGTGGTACCAGTGGAAATAACTGACCACTGCTTTATATCTATAAAGATTATGTGACAAAACTGTGCATTAAAATCAACCACTTATCAGTAACACAAAAACGTATTAGATACTGCATAGAAAAAAGTCTTTTCAATGATATATGTTCCCGACGACTTCCCTTAAATCCAAATTTTATCTTTTTCAGGTGCATTTTCTGGGAAATTGTAAGTTCACATTCATCAAAGTTTATAAACAGAGAGCTGTGACGCTTAATGCCGCCCAAGAAGTGATTACTTAAAGCTTAGGAAAGTAGTATGGAGTGTTAATGTAAACTACTGCATAAGAAATAAATGCATAAATTTGCAGATATATGTCATACATACTTACACAGCTGAAAAATTTGATCTTGATTTCGAATTTTTGAGATTTTGAGAACTATTCTCTCAGGTATGGTTACGTAAAATTCCGAATAATATATTAATAGTAATGAATTAATAATAAAAAGGAATAATATATTAAAAAGTGAAAACCCGACAATTTACAGTTGATTTGTATGAAATAATAATAAACATTTTGTTTATCAGGATCGACCGTTTCCACAAATGCGGAGGGGGACATCAGTGAGGTTAGTAAATTGTATTACATAGAGCCATTTGGCCGCCTAACGTTTATAGCACAACTAGACACAATAAGTCCTAGGTTATCTACTGCAGGATTTCCGAAAATGAAAAACCAAACGGAGTGTGCCTGCAAGTTCAGCTTAATTTAACAGTTTTGCATTGGGTCTATATATTATGTGATTGCGACCAGTAGTGTGACGTTAAGCAGAGTGACTTAAATAGACTGAAAGATGACACACATTGTGCTGCGACAATGGGAGACAAAAATTCCATTAACTTGATCGACTAATGGTAAACTAGGTGACGTATGAAATTACTTTGATCAACTAATTTTCCAAATCTATATTTTTCTGGACATAGAAAAAACAACTTCATGTTCTTTACTGAAAAGTAGCAACCCTTAATAAAGCAAAAAGCAAAAAAATAGATTTCAAAACTTTCAAATTTCACCAGGACTAGTAAGCAAACAAACAAGCAAACAAAGATCTAGTATGCTAACAAATATCAAACTTCCTTAATTAATCATCACTAAAATTATAAATTTTGCTACAGGTGCATTGGCCGTTTTTCCAACAATGGATTTCAGTGTCTGAAGATACGTCCATCTGCTCAGTCAGAAATCAGTTACTGCCAAGTCCTACAGATGCAATCTAAAGATGCCCTTCAGAAATGTCTGGATACAGACATGGAATACTCAGCTGGATTAGTTACATAAACTTCTCAAAATGTTCTCTTAACACAGTTGCATTAATCTCTAATACTTACTTATTGTTGGTGAAACTGTAGCATGTAGCAGCTTATAAAGTTTTCAATTATTTGTTGTGTATAATTCAATTTATCAAATGAATTTATATTTCAAAAAATGTCATAAAATGTTTTATTACAGTAACACATAACCAAAATGATCACTTTTTTCATCAATTGAATGGACCAAGAGACTTTGTTTAAGGTAATGAATGCAGAAAAACATATAATTTTATTGATGAATCTTGGTTAATAGAGAGGTTACAAAAGATAAATAACTGACATTAAAATTTTTTGAAAACTTTTCATTCTCCCTACAATTGAATGAACAGCCTCAGAAAGAGATTGTTTGATCATCATAGCATTCAAATATAGTTTAAAAAGTAATCAATACATTTGAATTTAAAGTTATATGACATAAATGTTAAAGAATTTAAAGTTAAAGAATTTATGTGACATAAATGAAAGTGAGTCCTTTATCCACTAAATTAATGCTGTTCATGGCTTTACCCATTACTGATGTCGAAGTAAATAACAGTTTTTTCGCATGAGCTGTAAAAAGCACAATGCAAGACAATCTTGCTGTTAGTTAAAATTAATCTTTTCTAAAGCCCATGGTTGACTTCCCACAGACAAGGGTATGAGCCATAGGGGCAAATGGTAACTGCAAATAAACTTTGTAATGACACCTATCATGACCTTGATGAAACATCTCTGGACTTGTACTGAATTCCATTCATTTTGAGATCTCTAATGACATGATTTGGCAGCTGACCACTAACAGACACTGCATAGCAACCAGGTTTGAGTTTGTCTGAAAGCAATAAAAATTATAATGTTAGATCTGGTGCCACTAAAGCCTATGCAATCAAAAATATTACAGATAAAAAAGCTGCTGCAAAAATAAAATCATTCATATATTCTTGATTTTAAAGGTTATTTTTCTAGTTCCTATATTACTATTCTTTAAGGTCCTCGGAAGCAGTTTCACACAGTGGTGGGCACCTGGGGGCAAGGGGGGTCACTTCAATGCTTTAGAGGACAATTGTATTTTGTTCTGAAACAATGGGATCATCTTAGTAAAACAATAGGCTTGCCCCCAATATTTAACCAAGTGTCTTCCCCTGGTTTCACACTATGCTGCTGCCTGAAGATCAGAGGCAACAACTCATCTTTCCTTCATACAGTCTTTCAAACTTTTCAATGCATTGCCTTAAAGCCTATTTTCTTTCAACACTAAAATTAACAGACTAGATCATATCTAGCTCTTAATTCTTAGGCACACCTTCCCTTCCCTTGCTAGAGCTTTGCTTTTGGCAACTAGGTTTTCACCTAATGATACTGACTAAAAAATACATCTATTCGGGAATACATCTATGCAGTAACCAAAATTTCTCCATAATTTATCAGAGAAATGTTCTCTACAGGAACTATACTGTGTTGTGTACAATATTTTTCAGATTATTGTAGTGTATTTGAATAGAGCTTTGATCAATGTTCAACAGAAGTGATTCAAGAACACCACAAATCATAACAAATTGTAGAAAAAATTACAAATAATTGTACACACCTATCCTCTTCCATCTGGCTACCCAGCTGTCTTCTGGATTTATCATTGATATAACACTAGTTGATAACAATGAACTGGTTAGTTATTATGAAACTTTGAAGAACAATTACAAATTGAATATTGCTACCTTATTGTGTAAATAAATTTTATGGCAATAAAATGTTAAGACATGAGACTTTATTACTGTAGAACTAATTCTGCTGAACTACCTTGCTATATATTCCATCAGATATATAAAGTCTCTTTAAACTGACATAAATTTGTTCCGATTATGAAAAGTTTTTCTATCTTTAGAAGAAACAAGCTCACCCATCAAAATTTGAACTTGTACAGGTCATGACAAACTCCCTGTCATTTTTCATGTGTAGAAAGCGTTCACAGTTATCACAGCCATCTCTTTCAAACTGATCAATGGTCTGAAATTAAGACATAGTAAATAAACAGGTACCAAATTTAACAATATAACTAGATATTAACTATATTTGTCCTAAATGGACCTCAAGTGTAGTCTGACAGAATGATTTCTCAGTAGGAATTACAGGATTACAAAAATGACAATTATATAATTTGTATCAGCAGTTTACACCACTTAAAGTATTTGACCAGTCAGCTAAATTATTGGCCCAATTCTTAGATATGGCTATGTAAATGAATGTAAAATGAAATTTTAGTAAGAAAAAAAATAGTAGCATCAGGAAATAAATACAATAAATAAACAAGCATATTAGAATTTGCTCTGAGAAGTTACAGGGGAGAATTATTTTCAAAAGCTGAAAAAGTTATTTTCTATGTCCCATTGTAAAAACACCAAACATAAATGAAGCCAAGCAAATGGTCATAGAGTTGTTATGCCAGGCATGTCATTCATATGATGAAATTTCATGAAGTCTTTTTGCCATAGAATAACCAAGCAATGAAATTTGTGAGAGGGACAAAAGAATTGCCGCAAGGGTTGTCAAGCTATGTTTGTCGAACGAAAAATGATTGCATCTGACAAAGAAAGCTTAATTTTTAAGCTTATAACTATACTCAAAGGCAAAACAGAGCCAAAGTGACGAAGGAACGACCTGCAACCAACTGGGATGATAATTTCTTCCTAGATGAGCATAGATTTGATTTAAAAATATGATTCTGGAGTTCTCTGAGCTTGCAAAACAACCAAAAAGAACACATCCAAAAGTCCATTTCCATCAATCTCAAGTGAAGGGAGGAAGTTCAGTAGTGGTCTGGAGTTGCATCAGGCCTAATTGCACTGTTATATTTTTTACTAGGGTTGTCTCCAAGAAAACCTTCCCAAAATGGCCTGAAAGATTTAGGGATAGGTCAGCCTTTTCTTTTTTAAATGAGTCAATGCTCCATGTCACATAGAATACACATTTTGTGCTGCCAACAAAATCCTCTTCCGGGGCTTTATCAAAGTCAAGATCTGAATTTAATAGAAAATGCTTGCTATGGCATCTTTTGCTACATAATGGACAACTCAACAAATCTGGATCCACTGAGGACTAAGCAACAGAACTGACATTTTGGCAAATATTTCCCATCATTTTGTTGAATATTTTGATACATCAATTCCTCCCGGGCTGCATGCTGTCTGTCTGTCTTGTTAATACCCCCATCAAATATTTAAAGTTAATTCATAAGTAAAATGAATTCAATGGACTTAAATTTTAGAAATGTGGTTACTTTATACTTTCTTTTTTTTATGATGAATTGGCTGAGATCCTGAAGTGATAACCATTGCATTGTCAGCCTATTAACAAAACTAATTTGCTTTAACTTGACCATGTACTGATGCATTATTTACTTCCGTTCTAATACTTCTGGCAGGGAAGTGTAAGTGGAATTGTGCCATCCGGATATCATAAAATTCTGACATATCATATCTCGTATTATTTACCTTTTAATTTATAAGATTAAGAAAAAATATCATGTAATATTCAGTGAAATGTCGAATATATAGTTATAAATACCTTAATCATTGAACAGACAAGACATGCTCGGAGTCCCCTCAGTTCTTTAGGTATACTTTCAAACGACATGCTTTAGATTCAATGACACTTCTATTTTCTTTTTTCGTGAAGGACACTGGGAGCACTTATGCACCAGCCTCTTTATGATCGTTCTTTTGCAATTCACTTCAACAAAATTGTGGTATACGAAATTGGTTACCCAAAATGGCGTCAACAAGTGACAGATTTCTCAATTTCAACATTGGTGTTCTTGGACATGTTGATAGTGGGAAGACATCATTAGCTAAGGCAGTCAGCACCATTGCATCCACTGCTTCATTTGACAAAAATCCACAGAGCAAGGAAAGAGGAATCACATTGGATCTTGGATTCAGTTCATTCGTAGTAGATGCGCCAGAACATGTGGCCAAACTAGGATACAGCAAATTACAGTATACCCTGGTTGACTGTCCAGGGCATGCCTCACTGATAAAGACAATAATAGGTATGGTAAACTTTTTGTTTAATGCCCCTGTTATTTTAACGCCGCCTCTAGTTTGTGCGGCCCGTTTAACCCATCAGCTGAGTGAATAAAGAAACTTCCCCTTCTCGATGCCTGCCTCTTTTAGACAACATAGGAACATTAGTGGGATAAAAGCAGAGATCATAGGACTCATTGCTATACAAAAGATTTGAATAGCACGGAGGCAAGATTTTTGCTTGATTTTTTCAATTATTTCTTAATATTTCCATGAAACGCCATGTAATTATCTGAACCACTTATGCCACCCACACCTTTTATCTAGATAGTTAATGCTTCTATTCAACGTCCCTTTAAAGCAGATGTTCACAAGGCAGAAAAAACCGTGCAGGCCCCTGTCAGCTTTAGGTGTCAGAAAGGCACACAGATAGATGCAGCACAAGTGCATGACCCTTTTGCAGTGATTTTTCTCCATTCCCTGTCACTATAAACCAATATCTTCCTGGAATCATGTTTTTTTTGTTTTCTTTGTAGCTTCTTTACAAACTGTTTCAAATAAATGGAAAATCATTTGGTTATTCCATAAAAATTTCAACTGTTTTTATTGGGAATCCCATAGCAAGTTCTGGCAGAAAAAATTCACCTTGAGAATGCAGTTGCAGGATTTGACTGTTGCTTTAGTAATATTTCTAGAAATTTAAATGGATTCCACTTGAATTGTCAAAATTGATGAAAAATACCCCTTGGACATTGGTTCGGATACATTGGTTAGGATACCAAATGTTGAAATAATCCATCAAAGGAGAAATTTCTGATGATTTTGAAAATGTATCTTTCCTTCTGAAGGTGGAGCCCAAATCATAGATATGATGATGCTGGTTGTTGATGTAACAAAAGGTATGCAGACACAGACTGCAGAGTGCTTAATAATTGGGGAGATACTTTGTGACAAAATGATTGTGGTTCTAAATAAAATTGATCTATTGGATTCAAACAAGCAAGCTGCTGCCATAGAAAAGGTAACTAACATATGACTTCTCACGGACATAGCTAACTCATCTTACGCATATATCATTACAGTTTATAACTTTGAAAGAAGATTAATTTTATTGTTTTCCTTCTTTTTATTTAAAGAAATTCTTTTTTCAGGTTGGTATAGATAAGCAAATTTTTTGCTTATCTATATTGGCCAAATATGTGTCTGTATTTAAATTTAAATCTATTTGTATACACAGATGAAAAAACGCATGCTGAAAACACTGGAAAACACCAGATTTGCGAACACCATTATTGTTGCTGTAGCTGCTAAGCCTGGTGGCCCAGAGAGTACAGAAACTGAATTAATTGGAATCACAGAGCTGATCAACTGCCTTAACCAAAGTTCATATGTTCCTGACAGAAACTGTGCAGGTCCCTTCATTTACTCTGTTGACCACTGCTTTTCAATAAGAGGTCAAGGAACAGTAATGACAGGAACTGTTTTAAATGGCACTGTCAATATCAATGACACAGTTGAAATCCCTGCACTCAAAGTTTCGAAAAAGGTAAAATCAATGCAAATGTTTAAGAAACCAGTCCAAAAAGCTGCTCAAGGAGACAGGGTTGGTATTTGTGTAACTCAGTTTGATCCTAAGTTGCTGGAGAGAGGTCTTGTTTGCACTCCTGGTGCTTTACCAACATTATATGCAGCTGTTATTAGTGTATCTAAAATACCTTATTTCAAAGGAAAATGCGAAACAAAGTCAAAGTTCCATATAACCATTGGTCATGATACTGTTATGGCTAAGCTAACATTTTTTGGCCCAAAAGATCGCTCTGATGGCACAGATTCTAAATGGGATCTGTCCAGTGAATTTAGACATGAAGATGAACTATTGGATACCACACAAACATTCAACTTAAAACAGGGCGCTAAACCTGCAACCCAGTTTTTACTTCTTGAGTTTGAGAAACCAGTCACTTGTAGTGAAACATCTCTTGTGATTGGTTCTCGTCTTGACACAGACATTAATCTAAACACATGCCGCCTTGCTTTTCATGGCAGAATGCTTGAAATGATAAAGGTAAAAGAATATCCTCAAACATTTTTGCCCAGCCTCAAGATTTTCAAAGTCAAATGTAAAGAAGGGATTGTTGACAGAATGATGGATGAATACTCTGTGATAGTTAGGTCACTCTTTAAGAAAGAGACAAATTTACAAATGTTTCTTAACCTAAAAGTTACCTTGTCAACCGGAGAACATGGCTTCATTGAAGGTGGTTTTGGGCAAAGTGGGAAAATAAAAGTAAGAATACCTGATGGTCTTAGTCAGAAAGCAAAATCACAACTTGCTTCAGTTCAAAAGAAGAAAGGGAAAGGAAAACTAGAAGACACACATACAGCAAATGAAGATGAAACTACTGAAAAAATTAAGATGAAACTTGAATTTAAGAAATATATTTTTGATATAAAACATAAAATTATTCAAAACTAAGTAAATAAAGTAAATAAGGCAAATTATGCAGGAGTTGGTGTAAAGAAAATATGAAGAAAATTTTTCCTCTATAGTGAAACTTCAGATCTCTTTTCATAGAATTTGATTGTAATTATTTTTCTAGCGGAATAAAAAGACCTTTATGATTGTGGTAAATGCTCACCATTTACAATTCCTTAAACTCTGATATACTTTCATCAATCTTGACTGTAGTAAAAAAATAATAAAAAATTCATCTCTACAGTAGAATCCCGTTATAACGTTCTTGGTTATTACGTACTTTCGGATATAACATACTGGTGTGCTTGGTCCCGGCAAAAGGTTTGCTTGGTTTTAGTCAATTCTTACTTACCCTGGTTACAACGTACTTCGGATATAACATACTTAATACGCTGGTCCCTTAAAGTACGTTATAACGGGATTTTACTGTACTTTCTATATAAGCAAGTTATGAATCATCGCTGGTACATTCAATTCAGAGGTAACAGTATTCTCCCGAACATCCCCTTTAAATACCTTGCTTTTACACCATTCTAAGAAAGAGAGCAAATGAAAAAGAAACCCACTTCTGGATGTAAATTGCAATTAATAACCAAACATGTCTCACAAAAAACATAGTAGAAATTTACATGGAAACATACAAATCACCTAAATGCAGCTGAAATTGCTTTACAAGAGATCAAGAATGCTGCATGGGTCATTTTGTGAACCAGAAAGTGTCCGAATTAGCACCTGAACTTGATTACTTGGAATCAGTACACCTGAAAAACAATTTTTAAAATCAATCTCTTTTAAAATTTCAGATATCTATATATGCCTAAGTAAAATTTGAGAATGATATTCAAAAATTCTACATATGGTTTATTTTCAAAGTGGTGAGATTTCTCTTGCATCTTATTTTTTCGGTAGTAATAGCAGGTTGGTATTAGTATATAAATCCATCGTTTTTGTGATATCAAAAGATTAAAATGCTTTATAAAATAAAACATAGTACAAATTTGTTGGAGCCACTTATAGGTCCCAAAAATGTGTGGACAAGGGGTCAAATTCAAATTTCTAACCTAAAGGTAAAATGAGGACAGACTTGAATAAGCACTGCCCTTGATTTAGCTCCTTGCCTTGTATTCATTTGAAAAATAAGCATTGCGTCATTGATTTATTTTAAAAATTTGTTGGTTATTGTTAACATAAAATGAATATGACCCGAAATAAATAACCTCTGAATGCTTACCAACAATTTTAGTTCCATCATCAAGCCTGACTCTGATTATCTGCATTTTTCCGCTCGAGCCTGACTGATTTGAGAGGATTACTCCGATTTTTGTCCATATACTAAGTACAGAACCAGCAAGTACATATACAGTCTTCCTCCTCATTCCAACCTCACAACCAAGGCCTAGCTCCTTCTTTTTACATTTCCCTTGCCTAGACACAATATAAAGCCATTGCTATAATAATGTTAAACAATGCAATTGGGTTAAATTAAAACATTTACTTAAGCATCATACTAAATGTGATAACCACAATTCTTTTCACAAGACACAGGCGATCCCACACACCTCCTCCAAAGATGTGCAAATTTATTTGCAAAAAAATGCCAAAACCACATCAGATTATAAATTATGCGCAGTATTAGGCAACAAAAGTAAACATAAAAACTCCTGACCCTGAATAAAAGTAAAAAAGTTGTTGCCAGTTTTAACCAATTGCTAAATGTCAGGCTGCTATATGCCAAATATTGCCATGCAATCTCACTGACTTCTAGCAGACATGATAGTAGATATTCATCAAAAAATATCTACCATTTGGTTGGATTACCACTGTCTTTTCCTATTCCGTTTAAGATTGACTCATGGGTGGCACCTATTTGAGAATCTCTTTGGGTCGGTATTTGCAAAGGATTCACTTTCAGAAATCAGCAGAAAAACTGGAAATAAATGACCTAAAAACAAAATTACGAAGCTCTCGCCACTCACCAGTAAGCATGAGAGCAATGGCTTTCAGAAAATTGGTATTGGTCTTTCCACAAGTGCTCTGCTTCAACATCGTGTATCTATAAACAAATGACACACAATCAGTTTGACCAACATTTAGCATTTAAGTAAAACAATCCATGGTCAAGGTTTTTATGAACATGTCCCCTTTCTTGCATTTTGCAGATGTTATACAAAAAACCTAACAAATTACAGGTACCTAGGAAAGAAAAGAAAAGGAATAATCTAAAGGATAAAATGAGTTTTCATTGTTTGACGGTGCTACTTATCAAGTAGAGATATATGATATAACTGTAGACTAGTGGCTTTTGAATAAGGACCATTGTAGACCATATGTCTTTATTCCCAGAATATAAACAACTTCTGAAGAGCAAAAGCATGGAAAATGATCCAGAAAAAAGTGCTGATGTAAGGCTGTTTTACACAAATCTGTAACAAGAAATTGATGCTAAAAATAATTAGATACTATAATTTAAAAACAAAATAACAATGCATTTCAAATGGAAAAAAAGATAAAATATCAGGTAGCCAATAAAGATTGTTTTAAAAAGTGATATTTTTATTTTTAAAGGAAAATAAAAAAAATTATGACTATATGACTATATGAAACATATGACTATCATTATCACCATTACTTTGATGCTATTGAGGAGGATTGAGAAGACGTCATGGTTTAAGACTGATGAGGGTGATTATGATTATTATTGTTATTATAATTGACAATGATGGTGATAATGATCATCATTATCATGATGATGTTTGAAACTGAGTTCCGAACAATGACATCATAAAAATCTGTTTTTTTGGAATCTTTAGCTGTTGGCTGTATAACCTAAAGAACATGACCAAATCACTCTAAAAGTGTAAAATACCTTAAATCGGTTGCAAATTAATAGAGATAGGGCAAATTCACATTAAAAAGTATGTCATAGTGCTCTTTTGCACAATGTGGTCCAAAATAAAAAATTTTATAGAAATATTTTCATGACGTCATCACTTTCGAACATTTTTGTCAGTACCTTTTCAAACTTCCTTTGTATATCTGATAGCTGTTCTTGTTTGGGTTGCATGCCGATATTTGGGCGGTACAACGTGTAAAGCTTTTTCTTAGAAGTAACTGGGGCTCTTTTCACAAGAACAACAGTCCTTTTTCCAAGACGTGTTGTGTTTGTCTGATAGAAGCCTTCTTCTTGGTATGAGCAGCTTAGAAAAATATCGTATACACGATGCCATGGCAGTCCTCTTTCAACGCTTACCTGTTGATGGAGAAATATGTAATTGTTGCTTGTAAAAACTATGAGGCTAGAGGTGCTTTAATAATCAATATGGAAAGAAAATAATGCACTTGAGAAAGTGAAAAAGCAAATTCTATTTAAACATTAATTGGATTACCAAGCATATAAAAACTGACACTGGATCAAAAGATGCTCCATTAACATTTTCTTTAAATGACTGTATCAGTAATTAATTGATTCGATCAGAGGCAGAGACACAACTGTTTGTTTGGGGGGGCAGCCCCGATAAATAAGTGAAAAAATAACTATATTTTACAAAATAAAAGTATTTTGCATATACTGCTGAAGGTTTTTGGGGGGGGCAAGGCCCCCTGGTATCTCCGTGTTTGGCTTCGATTCAAAATACCTTTTGTAAAGGAAAGTTTTTAAGCATACAGAAACTAGTGAAAATAGGAACATTTTTTACTTTTAACTATGTGTATAGGATAGAGGTATAAACAACTGCAAATAGAATTTGAATTCCATCAATCAATTGAACCAAATCTACTCACCGTTATCAGCTCATTTGACACTTGTCCAGAAGAGGACGAGGACACAAATGTTTTCACATCAAGCTTCTTCACAGATTCACCTTGAGAGCCAAGATCTGAAAATGGATGTAGCAGAATTGCCAGTTAATTCGGAACTCAAAAACATTTGCAAAAGATCTGTTTCCCACAAGTCACAAATCAATATCAAGTTTTGGGAATACACTTATTTTTACAGGAGAATATGGATAAGAGAACATTTAATAACAATATCATCTTCACACATCAGACTTTAAGTCCCATGAAAAAAGTAACTTATGCCATGATTATCATTTTCGTCTCTCGTGGCTCTGTTCAATGTTGCTCTTAATAGGTGTATCATACAGTGCTCCACTTCATAAAGGCAGCGCTGTGCTTGTTTTGGCCCGTACAAAATGCAGATTTCAAGTTGCAACTCAAAAGTTTAATGCTTAATGTTATCAAAAAGGAACTGCATTAGGATCGTTAGGTTCTTGATGCTTTGAAATTCAGATATGAAGGAGAACTGCTAGCCTAGGATATCGTTCAAGCCTATGAAGACGCAAGCCTATGACGAAAGTCTCTGCATCAATTTGCGAAAACACACAACAAAAAAGCCAGTTTGATTATTAAGGCTAACAGATAAAATGGCTACAACTTGTTCACATCAGTATAATGTAGGAAAAAGAAATGTCAAGCAACCAGATATACATACCAACAATGCCCTCATCCCAACTTCCCCGCTTCTTGGCTTCTTTGATAATATTGTTCATCGTGTCAATGAAATACGAAAACAATGCATTTTGTATGCCTACATTTAAGCCAAGTATCCGGTTTAAGAATCTGGAAACTTTCGAATAATCTAAAAAATAACGCATATAAATAAAAACAACAAAGTCATTAAAAATACGTTCGTTTTAGTTTTAATTTTTGATTATTTGACTTGATTTTTCAGCGCTTCAGTAGGCCTTAATGAAGTAATTTACATATGAAATTGTACATAATGTTGTGGTTCGCTTAATTATTCCAATTTCGCTGTTTATCGCCTCAAGAACAAAGGTTTCTTTACTTTTTACCTCCATCTGCTAACCACATTTACATTCAAAGTATCTTACATTCAAAGTAAAAGACGATTGAACCATTACGTAGAATGTTGTTCCTCTGGTGAAAATATTTTGAATTTCCTGTGATCCTTACCTTTTTCTGTGAATGTTATTGAGTTTTGTGGTCCACGTAAAAATACTCCAACACCAATAAGACCATCTTTAGTGTCTGTAGTTAAACAGAAATCTTCATCAAAATCTTTGAGGTCAGTACGTTGAGTGCAGAGGTAGAAGATAACAAGAAAAGAGTCAAAAGAGCATAAGATTAACAAACAAATGCTATATATATATTAAACAGAAAACTTCTTACCTTCTAAGAAGTCTCCTTCGTAATCTAAAGGATACGGAGCTAACGACTTTTCAAGCCCCAAGACAGATTTTAATGTAACCTCTAGAGCAGTTCTTCCATACTAAGGAGAAATCAAAAGAAATAGAGGAAATCATCTTTCTTCGTGATTAACGATAAAACCAGCAAAAAAAAGAATTTCCTTCCTCATCATTAATCCAAAAGGACAAAATAAGGATATGCTGAGAAATTATAAGAAATCCAGTTCATTGCTTGATCAGCAGTTAAACTTGTACACAACCTGCAATTTCTCTGAAAGTACACACATGCATGCACTATTTCCTTTCAAGCAGTGGAGAATACAAGAAAGAGCAACATGTGTCAAAACATTTTATTTTTAAAGCAAGGTTAAGGCTAATTATGATTAGTATTTGTAGTCTGATACTCGCGTAATGTCTATTGTTGTCTAAAAACATTAAAATACTTGACAATGGGTAGGGTTTCATGAATCAAGTATCTAAAGTTACCTTCGTATCAAAATTAAAACAACTCAGGTCTCTGGACTCAGTAGCTCGTCTGTCACCATGAGTCAATGCACCCTGCAGGAAGTAACACAAAGGATAAGATAGCTTGTGGTTCACGACATTAGCTACAACGAACGAAACTGGCCAACTAAGCCATCCAGTTTAGTTATGCTGGCAAAAGGCCAAGGCAAGGATCAGTGGTCATCAGACGTCTTGAAATTTTCTTAAAGAAACATTTTAGTTGAAAATATGATTGACGATATGACTTTCAAAGTGTATATTCAAAATTGCCTTGCTTAAGTAACCTACCCACAATATATTTTATCAGTTTACTGGACACAATTTGAAATCAGCTTTTGCACGTTAATAGGGTCTATTTAGACGTTCACTTGAGAGACAAAAAAACTAACCAAACTTTCTAGTCTTTTTGCCACAATTGATGCGAATCGCCTTTCCCCTGCAAGTTCGGATATAAGGAACAAATATTCCGGAGCAGAGACTTGATTTGAACGATGCGAACGACCTGAAAACAGTAGTGATAAATGATAACTCTTAATTCACTCTTCGGGAAGTTTTTGCTACGAAAAGGAACAAAGCAGCGCTTGATTAGGAAAGTTGAGATTATATCAAGCTTAAGCAGGAGTGTATTAACTAGAGTGTAGTAAACTGTCTATTAAATCGATTTACTGACAACAACTCGTTAAATACAAAATTTTTGCCAAGAAGCTATCAAAGAGGCAAAGTTCTACCAGGGTGGAAAACTAGAACTAATAAACAGGATCCAAAAATAATATTCATCTTTTTTTGTGTCTTTTTCAAGTTAACGTTAAGATAAGATCGATAGATAAGACAATTTAACGTCATAAGTGTAATGTTTTGTTCAGCGAAAAGACGCTAGGACCCAGACCCTAGATGTTGTTATGTTAGTTGAGTTACGTAAAGTTATGTTCGAAGCACACCATCGTTTTGAGTTATCTACAATCTGCCTATTAGGCCACCATAAACATAAATATAACAATAAGACAAGCCTGTTAAGAAAAAAACAAATTTCACTCGATGTTATATTATAACTGGTTTGAGAATAACAATCATGCAGAGGTGGAAAAAGTGGCGTTCAAACTACATAAAAAATCAACGTTAATAAAAACCCAATCTGCACCAGGGTAAGGTACAGTATGTTTTTTATGAGGACCTAGAACTTAGACTGCTTACGACAAGAGATTCACCCTTCGAAAACACATTTAAAATTGGTCTATTTGCTGCTATTACTGGGCTAACTCTAAAAAGTGTGTCAAACATTTTACAAAGAGTGGCATATGTGCCAATGCTACAAAGAGTGGCATAATTTTATAACCATCAACTATCCTGTTTCATTACCAGAGTGTTTTTATCACGTAGATAGATTGTATCGACTCAAGTGAAAGTCTTTGTATTACCATGCTTATCAGTATTTCATTAGATATTTCAGGCATGAAAAAGCGCTAGAAATGCTTAACGGTAAACTTGACCAACCAAATTGCTGGATAGCCTTGTCAGCACTCCACGGAAGCTCCAGCGTGATGTGAATTCGTCTCCTTTGATTCTAGAATTAAATCGAATTTAAAACAAATTGAACTAGCCATTTTAAATCTCTTAGGGTAAGGTAAGAAAAAATAACAATGACAAGAAGACTATAAGAAGGCAAAACTAACAAATCTCGATTCGCAATTTTCAAACCTAAGCAACGTTCAGAAGGGTTTTACACATACAGTTAAATGTCCCTGTTTTTATATACAATATCGTTTGCATCTAACAGTGATGGAGATGTCAGGGCAAAGATTTCTTAAATGCCAACAAAAACATCCCAAAAAAGTCTTTGAACTCAGACTCTCAATGTCGAATGTACTTGCATTTTTGTTAAAGATTCTCTTTTGTGTTGATAAAATCATTCAAACTTTTCACTGATTCAAGACTGACAGGAAATTTCTCATTCACGGAAAATCTATAGCATCATAAAGAGTTGCCAACACAGAATATGTCCAACCAAAAACGTGCTGGCTTGTTGAGGGGAAGGCTGGGCCCCCTGAAATATCATTGAAGTTTAACAAGAGGGCTTAGCCCACGAGCCCCCTCTCCACGGCACCCCTGTTTGAAACATGCTTTCTAATGCGACCTACACTACATTTACCTAAATTATGCGCACTATAACGGGGGAAAGGTTTGCTGAAGAAGTAGAATTCAGTAAAATTTTCAGAATATATACAAAAGCAAGATCAAGCCATTGGGGGTTCCAACGAATCTGGCAAGCACTTAACTTGTCATTTTGGTCTATTACATTGACTGCTTTAAAATCCAGCACACACTTTATGCTTTTATGAAAAATGCCTTCAAAATATCTTTGCAAACTATTTTAACTTCCAATTACGTTTCAAGCCCTTTCCCTATATGATTCTTATTTATCATAGCCTCACAATACAAAGTAAACACTACTTTGAGGTGGCACTGTTTATTGAAGAAGCTTGTGGTGAAAAGATTATGACCGTGGGCAAATAAATATTTGTTTCTTCTATTAACGTAAATATTTAGTCTTACATATTTAAGAAATAAAAACAAACATCTCACCTTGGCCCGCCTGTCAGCGTGTAACGAAATTCCTGAACTTGCAGCTTCAGAAATTATTGCCACAAACTAGGGGAAAGATTTGAAATCAATTTAATACCAATCAAGGCATGGCAAAAATTATTTCACTAGGAAATACTTTTCAATATGAAGATTAGTGGAACGATCATTTCCCATGTTTGCATAACATTCAGCACGTTAAACTGGTCAATTAAATCAGAGTTCAACCTAAAGATCTCCATCCCGATTCAATAAAACGTATCCAAAATACATTATAAGCAAAATCTGGCTGCAAAGGGCATTTCTAATTCAATTTACATCCACCATAACACTCACTGTTTGATACAATTTTTATCATATTTGCTTGTCACGACATGCACCATAATGGCTACATTTATTTTTCCAGAAAATGCTTTTGTCATTGAAACTGCTGTTCATTTAATTTTAACTCTAGCCCTACTGGTTGCACTAGGAAATGCTCTTTGATCAATAGTAGAATTACCTTTCCTCCACTCATGAATCGATCTTTCTCAGCAATGTTGAGCATTTCCAAGGGAACATCGTCTTTGGACCTTGACTCATAAATGAAACGCCCATCATCTCGCAGCAATACGCGATTCTTTCTACCAGTCATCTGCAATGTATTCAATACAATGTCATCAATTTCAGATCAATAAACGTATGTTCCAAAAGTTTAAGGGAAGCCAACAGCTAGAGAAACATTTCAGATGAGACATCTCTTGAATCACCCAGGAAAGTTCTTCAATCAATTCAAAATTAAAGATGTTTTGAATATTGTACAGAAAAAGGGCCAAAAGAAAGAGGCCAAGAGAGTTCGTAAAATAGCAAAAGGCAGTAAAATTGCATTTGAGCTTTTGAAGGTGTGAGACACGCTAACAGTTCTCTACCACGTTTTACAGCTACAGAAGTTCCACAAGGAGCACAGTCCTTAGCTGCTGTGGTTGTAGCTTGACACTAGGAAATATTACATGGAATACTATGTGAGAGCACTTTCCTACTTAAGGTGATAATTGATGAATTAAGCTTTTCATTATGATTCTCTTAGGAAACTCGCATAATCATCCAAAACAAACATATTCCAGATTATATAAGCCTGACTTTTGTTCGCCCCTTCTCTATATAGGTTACAATTTTAGGTTTTCATTTAAGGGTTTTCTTCGTTTCACAATGACAAAGCTTTACCCATCAGTGAATAATACAAAAAGGTTTTTACCTCTGCAACACGGTCAGGCCCTCCCAGCTCATCAATTAGCTCGTCCAATGTGTTGGGAGGTAGAAACGGTGCTAGAACATCTAGTTTCTCTAGAAGTTCGTTCTTCATGAGTGAACACTGCTCAGCAGCTGACAATGATGCAGATATGTTTTGGTTTAGCGATATCTGTTTAGTCAGTTGCTGAGATGAATTCGCCTTCTTGAGTCGGTTGCTTTTGAGCGCATCACTGCCACCTGGAAGGGAGTCTTATCTTACAAAACCAATTGGATAGTTGTGATGTACAATGTGTAATAAATATATGACTAAACAAGGTTGTGATGCGACCAAACTTGGTGCCCCAAACAGGAAAAAACAAGGGTCTTCTACCCCACCATGAGTTGGATTCACGAGGGCGTTCAAAAAGCTCTTGGACGCTCTACATAATCATCATTCGGACATTCGGAGTAAATGAAAATAACAGAACAAGGCAGTTTCATCTAATAATTCTCCAAATACTCTATAGCATTGTCTATGCACTGCTGCATGCGTTTCTTACATTGCATTGACCAACTTGGATGGGTTCCAAAAATTCCCTTATCGCGAGTGGAGAGACATCCAAGTCTGGCTCTTATTTGAAGGATGGAAACAAATGAAAACAGCTGGTAGCGAAAATAGTTCTACTAACTTGAGGCATCAGCCCAAGAGAACTGCTTGCCAAATAACCCAGCTGCATTGAGCACACTCAGACTATCTTCTGATGCACTGCTGTTCTTGTCCAACTTCTTTTTCTTTGTCTTCTTTTTATTCGACTTTGGTTCGTCAGAAAATGCTTTAAGCCAATTATCTATACAAAAGAAGAAGTAATTATCGCAAATTAAGAATCTCTCTCGCTTGTGGTACATAATCAAGATAAAGAATGTTGAACTTGCCAAGCCGAAGTGGTGCAATATTGCAAAATGGACCGATAATATTTAGAAAAATATGACTGCCAAAGAGGAGATATGAAATAAGTACGGAAAATATTGAGCAGGTTCGGAAATAGGAGTAAAGCAAGCAAACTGTGAGCCACGGAGAGGCCTTAAAAATATGAACTAATTGAATAAATTCCAAAGCTTTACTTTTCATCCATGTACAATCAAACCTAAGTTGCCAAAGAATTAAAAAGTATATTTTTGGTTTTAATTTTTCATAAATAATACTTTATCCTGTGAAGGGTAATTGGTGACCGACTGATCGCCTTTCCTATCTTTTAAGTTAATTTCAATCCGTTTTTTTATATAAACTTCATCTCCCGTTTATCTTTTGCTCGTTACCCAATGTCTCATAATCAGGTGCATAGCGCTATCAAAATAACACGGGGGCTACTGCGCAAAATGTTACAAAAAACAATAGCAAAAACTGAAATTGGCTTCTTTTCAGCATTATCAAGGGGGCTCAGCCTCCCCAGCACTACAACCTTGCTCATACTCCGAATAAAAAGGTCTTTTAAAATAGATTTGTCATCAGCCAGGCCTCTTATAGAAGCTGCTAACGCGGCAGAAGCAAACCCTTTCATAGTCATGAATTCAGTAATAGGACAGACGACAGGTTTTAAATCTGTTTAAAAAAGGCCTTTACTATAACCTGATACCACTTTAGTTATAAAGATCATTGTAATCGCTCTCTATTTTACAGCGGGCAAGCGTTACGCCCATAAATTGGGCTGTTCTCGAAAGCTTTGACTTGACAGAGGTTTGAGGGATGATGCTCCCAGCCTGAACGGCCATTACCAAATTGGTTATAGAGGACCACAAATTTTTACTTAAATACAAATTTTTTCATATCCACTGAGCCTACAAACAGTGGGAAAATAGCCATTGAATGGGAAAGATGACATATTCTATGCATTTTATATTTATCAACCGATGAATAAAAAGTCATAAGTTCAATCTCGTAAGACAGTGATTCAAAAGTTAAAACTCAAAAAGTTGCATGTTTATTTGTTAAAAACATCAAATATTGATTTTCAAATGTTAATGTAAAAAATTTTAATACCGGCTGTGTTTTGAAATTTTTCATGAAAGTTGTATACTGCGAAATTCTTTTAAACCAAGGCAAAGACTAAATCCCAGAGCTTTTAGAGACCCGCCAAGGCGCTAATACATAGCTACAGCACAAACTTTACACTTTTTTAATTAGGTTTAGGATACCGAATTTTGCCATGAGAATATTATCATACTTGACATTGAGTCTGCATTCCGGGAAATTTTGAAGTCAATACAAATCTACAATTTTCCAAACTCGACCTCTATTCTCAATACTTGTATAATATTTTCTATTTAATATTTGAAAGCGGAAAAATGTCTGGCCTTTGCATATTATAGAAATATAATTAGTGTTCCAGTGAGATTTCCCAGGGACTTAAATTCCATCTCTCCTCTTGGGATACTGTGTATAAACATTTTTGAAAATAAAAGATTAAAGATAAGAATAGGCGTCAAGGTAGAAGAGACAATCTTATCCAAATTACTTCGAATGCTCAAAATCGTCCTTATCCACAGCTTTAGAAAAGGAGCAAGCCTACTCCAAAGATGCATCAACAATGATACTGAAAACTCGAATATATTTCAAATGTTTTAATGTAAACAACAAGGGGCTCTTGGGTTCGTGTAACACCAACCCATCAGTATTTTTACAGGGGCTGCCACACCAACAGGGACATGCTACCTACAGTTGAAACAATGCAATATTCAAGTTTAAAATTTGAGGATGTTCGGCTCTTAGTAAATCTTCAGTTATCACCGCTTCTGCAAAATTTACAAAATTCTCGTTATCCAGATTTTAACCACAGCAATTACTGCATATTTCAATACAGCAACATTGCTAAGGTGGATGCTACGGGAAGCAATTTTGTTAAACCATCAATATTTGATTAGAGTGTTGCAACAGATTTGGAAAGGCTAGTTTCTTCTGACAGTGAGAATGGCGACACTGCATGAGATCGTTATAGGTTACTAAACCAAAAACCGTCTTATTTAACGTTGAGCTCTTAAGTCTACTTGAGGCCTGATTGGGAAATATATTGAAGCGAATTAAACTTCTTTCCTCTATTACTTCGGTTATAAGCCTCTCCGAATAGAGGTTGGAGACCCACTCAAAGGATAACACTAGATTTTTTATTATGACAAAAAAAACAAAATTTTGTCTTGGGTGTATCTCGAAATCGAATACTGAGAATTCTATATATATACTGCGACTTGAAATTGGTTAAATTTAAGAATTATTCAACAATAATAGCCAGGCTGGAAATTCATGGACAAATTGCCTTTTATCTATAAAAGTTTCTTGAGTAAGCAAGACGGGTGTGACTTCCGAGGAAAAAGTTGAGAAAAACTCATCAAGCTTGTATTGTGTTAGTATGTTTCGATTCCTATAATGTTTTTGTGCTGAAGGCAATTGCAAACATTTAAACGCTCTTCTAAAGAATAATTTAAGAAAAATTGACTATCGGCTCAGAAACTGAAATTTTTAGAATAACGTGGCTCAGTTAAATCAAAGGCATGCCTTCAACAAATTTGCTTTTCTCGCTGCCTGACACTTCCAAAACATTCCCATCTGGGGCACTTAAATCAAAGTGCATCAACATACTAACGTACTTTTTTGTCCGTCACGCCTTAGTATAAACGAACATGGATATCCATTGCTTATGTTTCAGTGCAACTTGAATCTATGAGTCGTAGCCGTTAAAGGGAAAGCAACGACTTAGGGAGCATGCAATAATCTCTCGATAATGTAGATATATACAGAAAATGATGCAAAAAGAATCCTACCTTCATCAGTATCAGAGTTCGATTCTGAGGACGAAGCAGCAACCTGACTATCATTATCCTCGTCGGAATCATTAACTTTGTCCAAAGAGGCTTCTTCAACGTCCACAAAACTGTCCGTTGCGTTTTCTGAATCTTCAAAATAAATGGAACGATAAAACAATAGATTTTCAACGATTAAACATCTTAGGAACACATTCTAAAGTCAAGAACTTTAATAAAGACTGCCCAGTTGGCTGCCCTGTTCCATTCTCGTTGGATCTTCGCTAAAAAACATCAAGAAATGAAACCAGAATAGCTCGCCTTGGGTTTTCATACTGTTCCAAAAATACTAGACAGATGAACTGCGATGGTAAGCTTTGGAGTTGGTTAAAGCTAAAAGCGATTTACTAATTTGGAAGCTATCGCCAAAATGCTTTTGTCACCAAAATGACAAGGAAAACCAAGCAAAACGGAAATATTCTATTTATTCGACTTTCCGCCAAGCAGTTAACGCAAAAATCAATTAGAATTTCTACACATAAAATGGTAGGGGTAGAAGTTGAAAGACTTAAAGGAAAAAATCCAGGCAGTTGAATTTATCAGTTGAAAAAGGTTGCGACAGGAAGACGGATATTTGAAAGTATAATGGAAATTCCACAGAGTTCACACGTTAGAATGACTGCTTCTAAAAGACGAACGAATATTGACAAACAATTGGTTAGTCTCCTTGTAAAGGGCACAATGTGAGATACTGTTTATAAATAAAATAATCATTGATAGGGAAACATCGATTTCAAGCGAGGCGCAAAGGTTGTGTGGGTACGCGCATAAGCATGCCCAGACACGCTGAGAGCGTCTATAAAAGGCAAGCAAGAGCGAGGGACTTCACTTTCGAGTGATCAAAGGCATCGCGATGGAGCAGAACCGACAGAGCAAGAGCGGAGGAGACGCGAAAAAACTTCGCCTGATTGACGGAGTGGTACTGCTCTTCGTTGCAGCTCTGGCGGCCTTCTCGATATTCCAGCAGGTGCAGATCCATCGGCTAAGCAAGGAACTGGCCAGTATGAGACAAGAGCATCAAAAAAGCATTAAGAATATGAATTTGAGCGAAAAAGGTAATCATTTAATCAATTATAGCATCTTTGCAAAATTAAGAAAATTCTCTTCGCTTTCCTCGTAATTACAAAAGGTTTTCTTTTCTCAGTTTTTCTGTAACCGTCCAAATTCCTATCATATCAGAAGGTAACTTAGTGAATTGTAAGTCACTCATGTACCTGACATGCAGTCATATTCTGGCAGCTCGATTGGCAATCAATGTGATCCGTATCAGTATGAGCTACAATTTTATGTAAACTTAACAATTACCAACTGTATATTATCAACAGAAAACTATAATATAGTTAAATATTGTTACGATTAACCTAGCAGCAAACAGAGCCACCCCGTACTAAACCGAAAATGTGGTTTTAAATGCTTCTATGTTCTGTATATTGTAACAAAAATTGTATGAGGAGTTCATTTATATTCAGTACATAATTGGCTAAGACATCGACGAAGTGCACAAAGTGTTGCCGAAAGTAACGAGGATTACCAAATCATACAGAACATGTTTAAGACACTGGAGATGTTCAAGAAAGAGATTGAACAACGACGAAAGAATGACGCTCGTGTTTGCAACAGAACAATCGTCTGCACTGGGGCCAAAGGGGGGCGAGGACCAGCGGGGCCACCGGGAGCCAAGGGTGAGCCTGGTTACACCGTCTTCGCACAATCAGCATTCACCGCTCCCCGCAAAGGCCAAAAAGGCGACATTGGACCAAGGGGACCGCCAGGGCCATCGATTGAGAAACCAAGGATACTTGCGAAACCGAGGGATGTGACAGCTCAAGAAGGCTCATCAGCGAAGTTTTCATGTGTGTCTTATGGAAATCCCAAGCCTGAAGTCGAGTGGATGTTCAATGGTGAGGGTGTGGCCGCTAAAACGGGGAGAATACGACTGGATGGCAATGGTGCATTGCACGTTGAAAATCTGGCGGCAAACGATGCTGGTACAGTCATGTGCACGGCAACTAACTTCCTTGGCAAAGTTACTGCAGAAGCCAAGATTGCTGTCCACAGTACGTGATAAATTATATCTTTTCTAATGTATAATAAATAAAAAATTTAACATCTGTTGCAGAGCGTTTTGAGAAATCTGAGACATGTCCTTTCGCCTGCAAAAAGGCAAACCCCTCTACATAACATTTAGCACAATCCCAAATTATCACCAAGATACGACATAGACGTGGTCAAAGCCTTTCTATATCCATCAGTCTTCAGTAACAAATAATGGTGCAATCAAAACAGACTGAATTCTAGTCAACCTTCATGACAACAGGAAAAAACAGGGGTGCACATAATGTTCTTTATGTTTTAATACTACAATGGTATATAAATTGCTCGGAATCACCAAGCTCCTAAAATTTTACCCTTCACCTAGCTCCTCCTTCATTGACGGTTGGAGAAGAAAGAGTCATGGCGGACCTCGGAAAGCAGGTCGAACTGACGTGTAGTGCTACTGGGATTCCTGCACCTTTGATCAATTGGAAGAGAATCAATGGCACCTTACCGGAAAACGCAGAAGTGACGTCAGCTGGTAGTCTTGTTATAAAGAACGTAAAAGAGAGCGACGAGGGGACCTATAAATGCATTGGGCAAAACGCAGCAGGGACGGCACAGGCGACCACGTTGGTGCTTGTCAAAAGTAAGCTGGTCTTTCATTTCCTTAACTTAAGGAATATTCGTGTCTGAATAAAGAACTATTACAAAACCTTAAATATTCGAAGTGGAATGGCCTTTGCATAGGATTTTTTAAGCGACAAAATTACGATTCAGCTCAGCGTATGCTTTGGTCATTTCGGTTCCACTCCACATGGGGCATGATGTAACCGGGTTTACTTTCATATTTCAAAAATAGGTTTGACGGTCCAGATGAAGACTACTTAATCCAAAAAAATTTTTTACTCCAAATTGTCTGACACGTTTTGGTACTTATTACCAATAACCACTTGCTGAATTATTATTCATACTTCACAACCCTAACATTCAAGGCAGCTTTTACTTTGCTATCTTATATACCAGCTACACAACCATCTCACCTTTTAGTTCCACCTACTGTTGGACTTGTGTCCCGAGAAGTTCTAACCTACACCGGAATGGAGGCTATGGAACTTATATGCAGGGTGACAGGCTTTCCAAAACCGGAAATAAAATGGGAGCGAGTTGATGGAGAAATGCCAAAAAATGCTGTCACTACGCAAGAAGGAAACCTGGTACTTGCAAAAGTGACAAAAAATGATGAGGGAACATACAGATGCGTTGGTGAAAACTCTGCCGGGAAATCAGAAGGCTTGGCTGAAATTCGAGTGCAAAGTAAGGAAAACATTGACAGCTTCAATATTATAGTAAGACATTAAAGCTACAGCTAAAATGATCTAACTTTATTTGAAATCTAACTTAGCAGAAGAAGTGTTTTAAGCAAAAGGACTTTAAAGACTTTGAAAGCTCAAGTACCTACAATCAGGTTTTTCTTAGCTAGACGTTAGGTGAAGTAAATAAATACTTTGTTAAAGAAGTAGCTTATGCCTTATTTGACATACTTTCAGGTGTTCCCGAAGGCAGCAGACCAAAGAGCTGCAAAGAGGTGCTTGCATCTGGCAATGGAATCAGCGATCAGTATCTGATATGGCTAAGTGACACGAAACCAATTCTAGCGTACTGTGACATGGACACCGAAGGAGGAGGTTGGACTGTGATCCAGAAACGAGTCAAAGACAACATAAATTTCAATCGAGGCTGGGAGGATTATAAGCTCGGTTTTGGTGACGCGAGTGGAAGTTATTGGCTTGGATTAGAGAAGATAAGAGAGCTCACGAAAAAAGGCGCTGTTCTAAGAATCGACCTTGAAGATTTCAAAGGAAGCAAAGTGTATGCAGAGTACAGCTTGTTCAAAGTGGACAGTGAGTCAGACTTATTCAGAATGCATGTTTACGGGTACTCTGGAAATGCCAGCGATTCCCTGTCCTACCACAACAACATGCCATTCTCAACGAAAGACAGGGACTATGACAAGCACGCTTCGCGCCACTGCGCAGTGTACTATAGCGGTGGGTGGTGGTACCGGGGCTGTCACAAATCAAATCTTAACGGGATCTACCCAACAGACAGTCAGAATCACCCATCAGCAATTTCGTGGTATTATCTCAAAGGTCAATATGGCTTCATTAAAGCTGTAGAAATGAAGGTGCGCAGTTTGATGTAAAACAATGTGATGTGAACTGTAGCACGGGTCTGTTCAGAGAAAACGAACGCTTGAAACTATACTTCCTTGTATTATTAAATGTCTTAATGTGATATAGTGCTTGCTTTTAAGATTTTATCTCACCTGAATCGAAAACACTTTCTGTCTCTTCTAGTTTTCTCTTTTTGTGAATGTTTTCTCTCCAACCTAAGCAAACAAATTTCCAGATTCAATCGCCAATAAAAACGTGAAATAACGATCTATTTGTGATAAAAGGACTGAAGTGAAATTCATGGTCTAGTCACACCATTTAGCACTGTATGGTTCCAAAGGAACATACACCAAAATGCAAGTCTCTGTCCATTGCATTATTGCCTATTTTCATTTTCCCATTGGACTTATGCTAAAAGAAGGATTCACTAGGGATGTCAAATAATGGAATACAGGTCTCTACAGTTGATAGTAAGGCTTAAATTTGGCAGAAGGCCTAAATTCACAAATTATCCAACATAAATTCTGATAATTCGAAACACTAAGCAATAACTTCACTCTAGTTGCAATTAAATGGAAACAAAATTTGTCAAACACCGAGTTTCTAAATCTAATTGCAAAACTTTTTCTTGATTACAAGGCACAACAAAATATAATTCTCGCCATACTTTAAATCACCTTCAACTTGGCAATAAAATTATAATTCCATATCAAAGTATCAACACGCTTTGGTTGTTGAGTAAATATAAAAAGAAAATAGAAATTTAAAGACACAACACAATAAACGCATATGATGTGTGAAACAAGCCATCTTAAATTGCTTCACCGAGAAATCAGGTCATTCCTGTCTACGCTGCAAGGACGCTACACAACAGAGCAGCTAAAAGTTGTTTTCCTTAGGATGCACAAAAATATTTAAAATTCTATGCGTAACCTAGCCTAACTTTTCAAAACATTAGAAAAAGGGTAGAGTTCTCAACCTATGTTCTGACGTTTTATACTCTGAAGGGTGTCAGACAGAAAGCTTTAGTACGACTCAAAATGTTTGCTTTTTTCAAGACCATTTTGAGAAAAGGGGTAATATTTCATCATTGACATCATAATGCCATTCTTGCTGGAAACGAAAGTAAACCCGGAAGCATCCACCCACCTCGTTTTCTTTTGCCTGTGTTCCCAAAACCATCTGCATTCCAACCAAAATCAGAAGATCGATCCGTAAACTTTGAACCAGAAACAGGGAAATGCTTCTCGATAAGCCCACTTAAAACTCCCCTGAAAAGAAGAGATTAGAAGTCGTGATCAAATCAAGTAACGACAGACTTCCGTTAAATAGGCGAAAAATTTATTACTTCCTGCTTATGAAGGTATTCAACCAAAAGTCTCTGAAAATGCAGCATCTTGCGATTCTAACAGAATAAGGGAGAAGAAACAGCTATATGTCAGTGGCTTTTTCCAAACAATTAGCAAACAAGCGAAATTATACTCCGAGAAAAACTGAGGTAAGACCGAGAACAGGTACATCAAAAGCGGGATTTCGCTTTACATTTCGCTGTGAAATCATAGTAGGAATGGAGGAATTAGTTAAAACAGGAGGGATTCGATAAATTTGGTGTCTGTCAAATAAAGGTTCTGTTTCATAGAGGATATCGATAAACAACTTAGAACAGCAACAGATTCACGTTTGTACACGGCAAAGCAACGCTAAAGTTCAACGCCTTCTGGAACTGTTTATCGCATCTTTCTCTAGAAATGAATTGTCATGTATTTCATACTGTTTGCGCCGGTGTCAACTCCAAAAACTATTAACACTAAGTCAGTTCTATATTAACAGCTACTTTTTGAAAACTATTATAGACACTGATCAGCTCCTAACAAAACAGTGGATTTCAAACACTTACTTTGCGGTTGATATAAAATCGTTTAGGTCCCCAGCCAGGTCGTCGACTTGTTCTTGCGTCCTAGCTTCTCCAGTTGACTGCAAGCCAATTACTATACACTAGAAAATAACAATTAATAAAACGGTGATATAGAAAACAGATTATTCGTGATAAATAAGGTTTCATGTTTAAACGAATGCCAGCTATGAAAAATATTGAAAACAATACCTTTCCATCCCTGATAGCGTCCTTTGCTATGGACACAACTTTCTTTACTTTTGCAGCGATACAAAGGTATTTGAAGAATCGCTAGGAAAGAAATTAGACACATGTACAAAAAGCAGATACCGGTATAGTCAACTCACAATTGATTAGATTATAGTCAGGTCACAATTGCACTTTATAAGCCTTTTGTACAGCAACGTTTAAAAGAGCACTAAACAGCGGCAATGCAAGCTGTATAACTAACTTTTAAACATGAAACGTGTTACACGGGTTTTCTTATTTCACGGCGTTCTGAAACCTGAAATAATGTGACTTTGTGGTAAAATGAAAAGAAGGTTTAAGGATGACAACTCAAATAAAAAATACCTATTACAGAATGTACAACAATGGCCATCGATTTTAAGGCCAACAGCCACAAACAAATTAGCATTTATTTATGCAAATTAATACGTATATCCGACTAATATTAATATACCTATTAAAATTCAATACTAAACTGTGGCTGTTTCTATTGTTAGTTACATATCTAGAAACCCCCACAAAAGAAGGTCAATGTATTGTTTGACGAAAATGGACAATTTAGATCAATCTAACTACAGAAAAAACATATAAGATTGATGAGGTTGCTTCTGGCAGCCTGGATAGGCATATATCTACCTGCTAATAACACTCTGTCGTTCAAGCTACTAACCGATTCTTTGTTTAAAATGCTAAGAACATTCGTCGACTCATAAATAACTTCAAAACACACGCTTACAAGAAATCCACTTTGCATTAGCCCAAGGGGGTTTCCTCTGAGTAACACTGAATAAAATAACTATTCAAAGCGTACAGATTGAATATACCGTAAATCCTCGAATTGGCCCCCCTCGAAAAAGCCCCCCCTCTCTCGAATAAGCCACCACCCAAGAACTATAAATTGTCAATAAGTCCCCCCTCGAATAAGCCCCCACTGCAACCGTATATTCTCGAACTGTACCCCTCAGTTTGACGGTTTATGCCATCTGTGGTTGCCTATGGCGTTTTATTGAATTACCACGACAAATTCATACTTTTGGTAGTAATTAATTAAATGCTCATAAAGAAAATCCTACTAAAATAAACAAGGTCTTTTAATAATGTCTTCTTATTGTCTACAATAATTGTATAAGCCCCCCTCGTATAACCCCCCCTCCTCTCGAATAAGCCCCCGCCCAAAAATATCAAAAATAAATAAGCCCCCAGGGGGATAATTCGAGGGTTTACGGCAATGATGTTCATGATCTAAATTTGTGATCAAAACACAACCTAAATAGTAAAATCGTTCAGTCTTTTTCTAGTATGAATGAAAAAATGTCATGTCATTGCCTCGGGTTTCTTTTGGATTGCCTGTTTCAGCTTACGTGAAGTTTGTCAATACATCATGGGAAATTTGCTCCCTTGTCACTTTCTATTTTGAAGGCCCAAAACTCACAAAAAGCAAAGTGCCATAAAACCATAACTGTTGACGTTTATAGCCAAGTGATATTTGAATAAAGTGAAATAAAATAAAACTAATCTACATTCAAAAATATAATCTTCTTTTAAGAAATATATTAAGCGTCATCTCGGCAGCATCGTATTTCTTCAAAACAAGCCAAGAATAAACATAACAAAGGCAAGAACAGCAAAGCCGTTTTATAAATACATTTAAGAGAACCAAAATAAAACAAAATACAAAAACAAAATGGCGTGGGTGGCTGTTCTAATCTCGGTAAGATTTAATGAAAACATACATTCATTGATTTAATGCAAAAATGTCGCTTCGCAATCCCCGAAAGTTAGAACCAAGTGGCAGGGCAGAGAATATGACAGAGTCCCCAATCCTGTTCCTTTTTGGGACCTTATTTACGGAAAGGCCCCTTTTGGGACTCTTTTACGGAAAGGCCCTTTTTGGGACTCTATTTACGGAAAGGCCCTTTTACAAGATCAATGCGCTCTCTATTCACGGTTCCAAAAATCCCTCTAACAGCAATCATGTCAAACCTTGTAAAGACCTGTCTTAAACAACGCAAAACTTCGACGAGCAACCCAAGAGGAACAAAATCTAATTTGAAGAATTCAAATTCAAACTTTAAAGCTCAAGTTTAAAGCTAAAGCCCGTCATGTGGGGCTTCATCAGCGTCTTGGTAAAATGTTTGGTTTTTCTTACCTGATGAGCTGACCAAAACTGTCCCCAAACCGTTTTTCTAACATGGCCATCTAGAGATATTAGATCAGCTGCTTTCTCGAATTTCTCTCTAGCGTCTGCCCACTGGAATACAAGAAACGTCTGAATGAGAAGTTTTGAATTTTACAGTCCCTGTATGCGACTTATCAAACTTCTTAGATTTCAGAACACTGCGAGGATATTGGTTGGTTTGAGCATACCAAAGAGGCAATGTCTCAAATAACGTTCACATAACAAGGCAATCTATCTGTCATTCTCTGCGAAATAGGCCGATCAAAATAGCATATCCAATATGATAAAAAATATCATCAATAATAAGTAACTAATTCCAAGTCGTCTATGTTGTTCGATTTACAGGCAAATTTTCGCCCAATTTCATTACACCATTGGAAAAATTTATCTTTAAGAGTTAAATAAATAGCATTAAATAATGGATATTCGATAAGCTAAGACCCAAAACCCAGATGATTTTAGTCAGTGGTTTTAAGTACTTTTGTGATTATTGGGGACTGAAGCCCTCTCAGCAGTCCCCTCCCCTTGTGCAGTTCCAATAAATACCTTGTATGAATAAACACAACAGTTTTGAAAAGATTTGTAAAAACCTGCAGTAAATTTTTAATTAAAAAAGGATTTATAAACGTTTATCAAAGATAAACAGGCAATAGCTCTATAGCTGTACTAAACATATAATGAAACTCTGATAGCTAAAACTGAGAATACAAACCAGTTTGACAGACGCATTATACATGTCTATAAATTGGTCGCTTAAAGGTATCTCCCGGACATCAAAGGAAGTGCCAGCAAAGCTTAGCTGACGAGCAATGTACATGCCACGATGCTGCAAAATATCAAGTAAAAAATATTTAGTCTGCAGGTGATGACAAGAAATACTAGAATGAAGATATTAAAACACAACAAGCTATTAAGCTGTGGTAGTATAAAAGTATAGGTTTGAGTCACAGACTCATTAGAAAGAAGTATAATATAAGATGAAAAAGAGACATTTCGGTTGGGGTAACAAATCACATTACTAAATAAAATATGACTTCAACATCGATAAATTTATCAACAGTAAAACCAATGGGTAAAAAAAATATCGACGAACCTTCATTTCCATAGCTACTAGTTCCATTGCACCGACCCCTCTAAAGAAAAAAGATAATGATGTGTATATGAATAAGCAGGTTTTGAAAAATTCCAAGATCTCATTACTCGTTGGGCGCCATTCCTTAGAGCATTAAATTTATGAATGCTGAAAACATTTAAACAATCTTCAATACTAGAGCTTTCTCCAATGCCGCATTAAGGTACCTGAATAATTTTTTATACTAAGGCCTTCATCATTAAAAAGCCACCTCAACAAAAAGCTATTTTTCTCAGCCACAGTCAGTAAGGATTGGGCACCAACATCTTTGGTACTCAAGGATCTCTAAGGTCCTGCTTACACGCCAGAGTTTGTTTTGCATATCTCTCGGAACAAATACTTGTATTTACAACTATTTTAATATTCGATAACCTAAATACACAGGTCCGGCTTAAAGAGATGCTTGGCACAATACAATGATGACTTCGAATTAGCTATTCAAAATAGCATTCTAATCCAAGTTTTAATTCGCATGAAAAAGAAAAAATATATATATAAGCTATCATCATACCTCTTCTCCACAGACTGAATGAAATCACCAAATTCTCTAAATGGAGTGCCAGCACCCCAAATGCCTAGGCGATTCATATACGCCATGTTTTTGGGTTCCGAGGCACCTTAGAAAAATAAAGATGTTTAACTTTCAGCAAAATTTATACAAACATTATGGTAAAAAATTTGGCAACATATCTCACCTAAAATAAATCGTTATTGAAGTTGCTGTAGCATGTTGGCTAAATATTGGTTACCCGGTTAAATGTTGGTTACCCTGTCTGGTCACTGACCGGTGATATGGTTACTGTTCAGCACGGTCCAGGGTCGAAGTTTTTTAAAAGTTAAACCTTGGAAACTCATAGCAAGATGATCATTGTATATTTCAATACCTGTCGCACTGCAATAGACGACTCTTGCTTTGGGTAGCCTATCCTGCAGCTGGAGAACAGTAAGACCAGTCTTGGTGGGTTTACCGGAGCCGGTTGGTACTAAATTCTTTGCTTTGTGGCACTCGTCTAGAATTATCTGACAAAAGAATTAAGGACAAATGTTTGTCAATCACCGACCTGGAAACTGATAACAACTTAAACTTGAAAGCTACAATTATGGTTTTAGAGAAGAAGGGATAGCAGCAATTAGATTGATTGTTAGTTAGAGTTTTTGCAAATGAAGATGTTTTGCAATATGAGCAGCAAAGAAGGCCAATTACAGAATTCAAGTGATAATGGTAGTATATTGAGATCTTAAAGTAGGCTATCGAAGCAATGTTGGAAATGAAGACAGGCTCGTAGAGAGAGGGAGAACCGATCGTATAGGCCCTGAAAAGAAGAGAAGGTAACAGTAAGTAGGTAGTGTATGAAAAACAGCCTGCCGATCGGGCAGAACCTAAAATGGCGAGATACGATAAAACACCTGTTTGATCAACTGATACAAACGCCACATAAGCAAAATGTGCATAAAACGTTTTTGACAGCTGAAATCGATTCTTTATAAACGTTTTTGACAGCTGAAATCGATTCTCTATTTATAGCCAATTCTTTTAGCAGTCAGGGGTGGACATAAGTCAACCTTCGCCATAAATCATTTATGATATAGTCTAGCAAAACGTTTCCGTAAACTGTCTACGTGCCCATTTTTTCTTGTCTCTATTGAATGGCTTTGGCATCAAAGCCCCTCCCGTTTACAGCTGATATTCTTAAATTTTCCTGTAACAACAAATTTTCATGTTTCAATAGACCCCTTTCACATTGCATCGACTTAAGATCCAAAACGAGGCTAGAGTTGTATCGGTGCCGAACATCAGAGATCAACCTCTCTGCATCTATACGTCTTCGAGATATATTATCGCCGTTTTGTAAAAGATTTCCATCGATTTTCGTATTAAAGATATGGATCAATTTATTTCATTGTTACCTGAGGGGAAGGCGGTTTCCTGCATTGAAGATTTCTCGATATTAACTGTCAAAGAGCTCAAGAAAGTTTTGTTGGCCTACAAAGAGAAGGTCTCAGGTGCCAAGGCTGATCTAATTCTCCGTGCCTATGCGGTTTTTTCGCGATTAGAGCAGCAAGAAATCAGTGCCGTAAGTACATCCGAACCTGTGTTAGTTGGAGAAGACGCTGAGTGTACGTACAACGCCATCTTCTCCTCAAAATGCAGCCATTTGCCGTGGTCCTCAAACCTCAGGGGGACTCCGGGCTTTTCTTTCATTCAGCTATATAGCTATCTGGTAGTAAGAACAATGAAATTTAAGCATATCAAGCTGAAAAGTACTGCCTACAAGAAGTTGAAAGCTTTCCAGTTTTTTTTTGAAGGCTACATCAAGCATTTCTCAGTGGCAAGGGATAATAATTACACTTTCTTTGATGTCCGCATGAAAGCTTCTATGAAGAATACATTGTACAAGGTCCTTGTCATCCTTTCAAATACTTCTGGAGATGTTTGCTGTGCAGCTTGTACTTGCCCTGCTGGTGCAGGCCTGGGTGGTTTTGGTAACTGCAATCATGTCGGAGGTGTTCTTTTTGCCTTAGAGGATTTCAACAGAAAAGGTTATCAAGACTGCCCAGAGCCTGTATCATGCACTTCCAGATTATCTGCATGGAATGTTCCAACCTCTTTTGTTGCAGTCTCTCCTGTCTCAATTGATGAAACAGTTATAAAAAGAATAAGATTTGGCAAAGATAATGACAAGTCTAATCAGCCAAAGTATCTTTGCTATGATCCTAGAAGACCTACAGACCGTCAAGTCAATGAGAAAAGCTTTCAAGAGTTACAATCAAAGCTTGCATCCTGCTTATCAAATAGCTGTTTCTTTGCATTTCATTCTCTTGAAAAATCACATTCACCAAACGAGCAATCATTTATCACTGAAACTGTTCCTTCTCTAAACTCACCATTTGCTAATTCTTCTGTTTTGCTAACTGATTTCCAAGACCCTCAACCTTTTAGTGATGCATATGATATTTCTTGCAATAATTTCAAAGAGATGATGGATTACTATTGTCTCTCAAATCGCTACATTAGTAATGATGAAGTCCAGAGAATTGAACATATTACTCGTGGTCAAGCAGCGAATGAACACTGGCAGTCTCATAGATTATACCGCATTACAGCCTCAAACTTTTATTCTGCTATTGTCAACTCAGTGGAGCCATCCTCAAAGCTGAAATTCATGTACTATTCTTCTTTTTCTTCTGCCAGTACTGACCATGGCAAACTTTATGAGTCACACGTGCGTTCATTATACAGAACGAAGATGATTCAAGACGGCTATGATGCATTGATCATTGATGAGCCTGGCTTAACTGTGTGCAAATCTTTTCCTTACCTTGCTGCTTCTTTGGATGGAATTGTGAAATTTAAAGAAAATTCTTGGGGACTTGAGATCAAATGTCCCTTCTCTAAGTACAATTCAACACTTGCTGAAGCTTTGGATGACAATAAATTTTTTTTAACAAAGAAGAAAGATATTCAGTTGAAGAGAAGCCATCCTTATTATTATCAAATTCAAGCCCAAATGTTCTGTTCAGGATTGAAGAAAACGGACCTTGTTGTTTGGTTTGGAGATCAAGAGCCCTTATTTGTCCATTCAATTGTTTATGATGAACAGTTTATAAGTTCCTGCCTACCAGCATTGAAATTCTTTTATTGTAGAGCTGTCTTGCCTGAGTACTTTACAAGGCGTGTTAAGCGAGGCTTAAAATTATACTTGCATGGTGGTTGGGAAAATTCCCTAAAGTGTTCAAAGAGAAAAAAGGCAGTTGAAAAACAAATGTGAATCATATTGACATTCCATCTCTTAATTAAGATATTAAGTACAATGAACATCTCACTAAAAGTTATCTCACTGAAAAAGGCTAAAAAGGCTTCTCGTTGAAATATAAAGACTTAAGATCCAAGATGAAATCAGCTTGAATGCACAGTTTAGAAAGGATGACAAGGACTAATCTGCTATGAACTACAATAATGGCAATAAGAACATTAATTTTGCAACAAAGAACTGGACTAAAAAGGCTTCTTGTTGAAATATAAAGACTTAAAGATCCAAGATGAAATCAGCTTGAATGCACAGTTTAGAAAGGATGACAAGGACTAATCTGCTATGAACTACAATAATGGCAATAAGAACATTAATTTTGCAACAAAGAACTGGACTAAGAAGGCTTCTTATTGAAATATAAAGAGTTAAAGATCCAAGATGAAATCAGCTTGAATGCACAGTTTAGAAAGGATGACAAGGACTAATCTGCTATGAACTACAATAATGGCAATAGGACAACAATAGATGTGACAAATTGTAGTTATGCCTAAAAAGGGGGATTGCGCTCAATGTCATTTACCCAATGTCAATAATGTATAATGCCTATTTTTATCATGTCTTTGTGTGACCTATTCAGTACTTTTAAATAATAGATACTATTTTATTGATTACTGAAGAATACAAATTTAATTCAGTTACCATTCTTTTGAGGGTTAACTAAAAATGGCAAAAAGTTTGTTAAAAGGCAGCAGACTGTGAAAATTTGGTTTGCGACAGGAGCAAAACTTAGTGGCAATATACCATATTAAATGTGATAGTTCTTGACCCTCCCAATAGCTCTCTCTACGTGAATTCTCACAGCGCCAATCTTGGCTGTTTCTTCTGATTCTGCAGGTGTTAACTGGTCATGTGAGCCTTTGAAAGAAGGAATATTTAGTGTGACACCAGGTGGTAATATATTGGCGATATCAAAACCTCTGTCTGCCATTACATTGTCACCTGGGTCACCTGGTTCCAAAAGAGAAAGAAGACCAGAGGAAGATGCTAATTTTTTGTCAGAAACACGACCAGAAGAGAGCTTTGATATAAAGGTAATTGCACCATTGGGAGATATACCAATAAGAGCTTTCCATGTATTATGATGTTTGTATTCTGACCATGTTTGAGACTGTGATTTTAAGGAGGAGAGGACTTCAATATGTATTTCTGTACAGTCAAGGATAATTCTTGTTGAAGGATAATTTTTAAATTCAGCTGGCAGCATACTTGCAACTATATCCTTTGACAGATAGGGAAACAAAATTGGTAATTCATGGAAGAGAAAGTTAATCCAGGTTGTAAAATTTTTTGAGGCATGACCAACAGAGATACCAAATCTGTCAGCAAGATCACTGAGAAACAATCCAACTTTCAAACGCATCAGGACAGAGAAATTCATCTAACTGTCACAACCTTCTTTTTGGTCCTTGTTTTTTTGAAGTCAGATTCTGTTCTTGCTCTTGGTCTGTGGAGGTATTGGTGGACTTTGTTCCTCGCCAATAAGACATAATTTCAAGCTTTGGCTTTAAATATTCAAAAACGGCTTGAAATGAGAAATATGGAGGAAAACCAGTGTAAAACTTACTGCTGAATCACCATCTTGCAATTTTTCAACAGAAAAAAGGCTTTCTTTGCAGAAGATAGTTGATCATTTAAATCGGCAACTTTTTGAAAGAGTTCCTCAACTTTCTCTTTGAGATTGACGAATTCAACCAACTCTACATCATACTGGTTGCCTTGGGAATATCCCTGCTCGACTGTTGGGAAACTGCCAGGGCCAGGATTTTCAAGGAAAATAGGCCTGTCAATAAACGAAAGATTTGTTTGCGTCGAAACAGTGTTCTCCATTGAATCCAAGACATCGCTTACAGATTCAAAAACAAGGGAGCTGCAATCCGTTGGAGCTTTTCGAGTTGTTTTCATAGAAGGGGCCAAGCGGTTTCCTTCATGCTATTTAAGTGAAGGCAAGGCGCCACTTCGTAACTTCCAGCGTTGAGGATTCTTCTTTATGTCTGAATCCGTAAAGTGTTCATGCCACAGATAAGTCGATGCAGTAACTCTGAACCCATCCAGGCCATCAACTCGCTTTATTAAATTACACCACTGACGTTTTTCAGGGTTTTTTTGAGGAAACTTGAAGAAGCGTAGGCCAGTCGGGGATCCGTCGGTAGAATAAAAGAAATTGTAGCAACCAAACGCTGCACACTGCTTTCCTAAAGAAGCTCTTTTCTTTACTTGCTGGCTCGACTCATTCGTACTTGTAGACTGATCCATTTTTAACAAATCAAACCGCAAGAAACAACTAATAAATCTCAAGTCAATTCAATGTGAAAGGGGTCTATTAACTTTAAGCAAAGGTTTTCATGTGCACTAGGTTTTCAATATGAGGGTGGTTGGCATAAAAAGGCTTCATGTTCTATTTCGGTGCAGAAAAATTCTATGCGTATCATATTCTACATATCTACCTCAAACTCGCTAGCAAGGAATTTTAGAAGTGTAGTGAAAGGTTTATTGTTGTTTGCGCTACGTAATTTTGTTGGTCTCTATATCCTGTCTGCAGTAAATGTTAAACTGTC